GGACGCCATCTGAGTGTCTGAATGAAAAGCACAAATGCTTGCAAGAAGGAGGCCTACATGTTGCCAATTAAAACAACGTTAGCAAGGATTTTAGTCCCTGTGCGTGTTTTTATCAGCATTACCCGATCCATTCATGGGGGAAGTCAGGGTAGACCCACAACGCAGTGGCTCCGTGCACATCACGACAGCAGAGCTGGAAGGGCGCCTCAAGTTCCTAGGCATCTTGAGGAAACAAAACCGAGCGCCAGACCGAAAGTCAATCCAATCACTCATTGTTGAAGGGTCCTGCTGTTTTCATGAACTGTTGACTTTACCCAGTGAAACTTGCAAGGGCTTTTATCATGCACTTATTTTTTTATCAATTATATTTGTAAACCACTTCCCCCCTCAAATCCCGAAGTGACTTTCAAAATCCTCTCTTCCGATTTTATCCTTGTGAGAACTCCATGCAGTCGGTTAGGTGGAGAGTCAGTGCCTGGCCAAGTGGGGGCGAGCACCGGGTCCTCCCCGGCCCCATTCCAGCCCTGCACCATGCAGGTTCTTGAATATCTAACCCAGCATTACTAATGGCACAAAGAGGAACCAGATCGTGCCACCAATATTTGGTTGTTATCTAGAGTTGCATTGGTAAAGATCTATCGCTTCTTGGACTAACAGTCAGAGGGCATTGTGTTGCTATTTTAACAATTTTTCCGTGGCAAGAAGAACAGCAAAAAAATCATTGGAAGAGTAGTGGGAGTTGAAGACGGTATCACCCAGATGCACACCTCTTCCAGCTTTCCATGAATGAGGCAGAAGGATGCTTTCATGAAAAGCTCATTTGGAATCTCCATAGGGAAAATTGCAGGAAGTTACAGGCACTAAAGGCAGGATTCTGAGTCCCTTTTGGTTCCAAACTAAGGATACATCCAAAGATCAAGGTCATGTGTACTATCTACAAGTTCTTAATGCTGTGGAGTATTGCAGTGTATAACCACGTGTTACCCATAATATAAGGCTAAGCCTTCAGTCTCTGGATGCTTCCTAGCTCTGCTCATCAAAAAAACAAATGTGTGACGATTCTCTATTTCCCTTCTTAAAGGATTTTCAGTGATAGGACAAAAAATGGAAGAAACATCAGGAAAACATGGGTGGGTTACAAATTATATCTGGACCCCTGTAAAATGCCACGATTAGAACCAGGTAGTTCCACAATAAAAGTTTGATCTGGAAACACCCCTTGATCTTGTAAATATGGTTATTACGGTATGTTTCTGCCCCAGCTTTCTTCGTCTTCCAAGGAACCCAGGACAGCCTGTCAGGCTCTCCTTGTCTCCAACTTACCATCAGAACAACAATCCTTTGAGGCTGGCTAGGCTGAGAGTCCAGTAGATTGCATGGCTGAGTGAGGACTAGAACCTTGAACCCCCAAGTTCTAGTCCAACACCCTCGCCACAGTGGCTCTCAATATCCCTAGTTTGGATCAGTTAGACTTGGGACACCTTCACCCACTGAAAAATTCCGGCGAGAAACACTGAGTGAGTAAACTTCTAACTGCTGTGTTTATATAACACTTGCGCATTTTGCCACCTCTCAGTTCTGTGCCTGTGCAATCTATGAGCAACTGGCTAGCAAATTCCTATGCAAAAGTGTTTTCCATATAAAGATGTTGCATTTCACCCAAGTAAATGTATGTAGGAGAGTGGCATGCAAGTTATCTTTATATTATTGCTTTTGGACACTTGTCAAAAAAAATGCCAATGAAGATTTGTAACCTGTGCATTTCACCTAGTTTGTTGATTGCTAGTGGTTATCAAACCCATGGGATCCTGTCCAATAAAGAATTTCCTATTTCAAATGGAGCAAAAGTATTTTCCCTGCCATGACAATGCCCACAAGCTAATCCCACTGTCAGATCGAATTCAGAAGAAAAACGTCAATAGCTGGAGGATGGATGCCTTTATAAAGTAGGAAGTGTTGCTGGGGATAAGCAGATTGCGTTGGTTCCCTGCTTGCAAGGCTGGCGGGAGAGCTTGCTGGCTTGCCAGTTGGTCCCTGGTTCTTGCTTTCGTAGACTTTAAGGTGAGGGGCGTATAATGCAAAAGGGAAGCATAGGGAACCTTCATCTCCCATTGACTCCCTGCAGCCCTTAATTTAACCACGTTTCTTCCAGCAAGGCTCACAGTGGTACTGGGGTCGCCCAAGGTGGAAGGGTCAAAGCAGAGACACCAGACTAAGAGGCTCCCACCATCTCCAGGAGTAACGGCCACATCGTGAGAAGAGAAGGGATGTCTCTGATGGTGAAGGGGGCAGAGGAGCTCCTGGGGGGCAGTGACTGGGCAGCAGCGGTACTTAAAGGCAATTCTTGGAAGATCTTTCACAGACAACGGCAGTGATGCTGAAGCTAACGCTGGCAGAAGAAGGGGATGGCAAACTACTTCTGAATCTTCATACCTTGAAAATCCCATGATGAAATGATCCAAAATGAAGAAAAGGGATAGTGCTAGAAAATGAGACACCCCCCACCCCCCGGTCAGAAGGCACTCCATGAGTAACTGGGGAACAGCAACAGACAAATACAAACTAGCTCTGTTGCTAATGACTTGCTAGATCAAAACCGAATTGAAAAGACTCCTGATGAACGTGAAAGAAGGAAGGGCAAATGCAGGACTGCAGGTAATAGGAAGAGAACAAAAATCATGAATACAGAAGGATTCTAGACCCTAACAGCAAGGACATGGATAGTGTGAAAGATTTTACATAGCTCATCCAAGAGATTCTTCTATGACTGTGACTGGAAAGGACAGCAGTGAAGATCTAGAAAAGATCAGAAAGGGTAAGGATGTTTTCCTGGAGACCAAGGCCAAGATCATCCACGCTATCATGTTCCTGTTTAGGGGTGTGGACATTGGACGGGGAAGAAAATGGGCGCTTTCAAAACCTGGCACTGCAGGAGAGTGTTCTCTGCTTTCTTGTAGAAATACACCTCTGCTTTTAAAACTGATGGCCGAGCAGCTTCCTTTGAGTGGGCCAGCAGACCCCCCTCAGAAAGACTGAAGTCAGCTGCAGACTTCTCCAAAGTTGTTTTGGAAGTGGACCCGTCCAGCTCCTTTCGCCATGTTTCTGTTTTTATGGGCAAATGTGGTGGAATCTCCTAACTGTGCATGCCAGTAAACCAAACACACTATGCCTGCCTTGCTGAACTATTGCGCACAGAAAATCCTTGTTTAATTCGTTTGCCTGCAGACCAGGGACTTCCCCTGCCTGACTCACGTTTGTGTCCTCTAAGATTTTATTTGCCTCGATTAGCCCGGTACACAGTGGACCTGAAATAATGTTGAGATGGGCATTGCACATTTTATTAAGAACTAAAATGAACCCCCCCCCCCACACACACACATTTGAAGCTAGTTCATTTCAGGATTCAAATTTGGTCTTGAAATATCTTGAATATTTTTCTTGCATTCCGTTTTTGAGGCTCAGCTGCCAGACTGCTTTAGAGGACAATCAACAGCAACTTAAAAGTTCATCCTTGTGGATGAATTTTAAAGCAGCAAAGTCAAATGTCTCAGAAGTGATTTAATACATGTGAAAATGGTGGTTTTACAAACTTGACTCATATCCACACCATTAAGGTTGAAAGAAATCCAAATTAGAAGGCCAGCGATTTCCTTTTTTGGAAGCAAATTCAAGACCAGGATCATAACCTAGACCTCTTGTTGACTCTGGTGCATTTCATCTGGAATTGTGGCTTGTTTATTTGATTAGAATAAAACCATTGAAATCAATGGGACTTAAGTTATTGGTGCCTACCTTCAAACTCATTGTTTCCAGTGGGTCTGCTTGAAATATGACTCAGTCTGGATTAAACCACTGATACGCAATGTAGCTGCTTTCAGCCTTGTGAGTTGGGTGGGCTGGTCACCATGGCTTTTGTTTCAAGTGCCACCTTATTGGTATGACCTAATTAATCAGTCTTGCTGTGCTTAATTAAGCACTGCAATTCCATGCATTCCTTCTTGGATGTAAGTTACAGAGGAGAGAGACCCGGCTGGTGAGACAAACTTAAATCCTATGCAGAACAGTTAAAAGAGCTGGGGGAGAAAAGATAAGGGGAGACATTAATTTATCTTGAAAGTTTGGAAAGGTGGTTACACAAAAGATGGACCAAAGCTGCTCTCTGTTTTGCTGGGAAGCAGCTCTGCAGTCGATGGGGGAAAATGGCAAAGAGATTGGCCAACCATTTGGAGAAACTTCCTGCCTGTAAGAGCTGTTTGTGTTACAACAGTGGACAATGGCAGAGGTTTTGAGCAGAGGTTGTACAACCATCTTGAAAGGGAGTTGTATCTTGAAGATTCCTGCACCCAGCAAGGGTTCTTGGGATAGGACTGCATAGCCTCTCTCTGGCCGTCACAGTTTGGTTTTCTCTGGTTTTCTTTGCGTTTATCAAGGCTAAGGTCCAACAATGTGAAAACCTACACTCAAGAGTTAAGTATGGTTTGTTCTTGCTGAACTGTGGGTGATCGTTGTCTGTACCCAGCTAAGATAACGAGCCAAGGTGAACAACGCACAGTCCACAAGCCACGCATGGGTCCTCTTCATGGGTTGTTTGGGGTTAACAAGTGATGGCTGGGTTCAGACATGATAACCCACTTTCGAGGACAACCCATACTCAATCCTGGAGTGTCACTTTTTGTGTTGTCCGAACCCAGTCAATGTGTGTGTTCTTGCTGCTGCTATTATTTTCACTTCTGTATTGAAAGGTTTTTTTTCCCAGAGATCCAATCCCTCCATGGTCAGAGGAGACTGGGTACTCTGCAAAAAGCGTTGCCCCTTCATTCCCCTGATTCTCCTCTTCTTAAAATCAAAGTAAAGAAAACGGTTTGTAGATGGATTTACACTTTTTGAGGAAAAAGCGGAGGAGGGCATGGGAATATTACTTAGCAAGAGCCGCTACAAACCACTGATAAGACTGTCTTGCAGCGTATCCCTGATAATTAGTTTCCTGTTTATTCTTACAGTCTCCATAGAGGATATCCAGGACGTGAGGCCAGGCCATAAGACGGAAGGGATGGAAAAATATGCCAGGGATGTACCTGAGTGTCGCTGCTTTTCCATCATCTTCAAAGACCAGAGGAAAAACTTGGATCTTATTGCCAGCTCTGAAGTGGATGCCAGCCACTGGGTTACAGGCCTGCGGAAGATCATCGACAGGAGCAATTCTATGAACCAGAAGCAAAAATTAAAGCAGTATCCTTCCGTTAACTGGGTTTGGTTTTAACTGGGTTTGCTTCCACCTTTTCTCCAAATTGCTCATGAGCATGTCAATGCTCTCTCAGCCCCCACAGCCCTGTTTCATCCTCACAGCGCCCCTGGGAAGTGGGTTAAAATTAATACACGACTATAACTGGTCCGAGGTCAGCCAGAGCGCTTCGTAGGCAACTGGAGATTTGGTCACCCTTCGCAACCTCTGTAACAACAACCTTTGGGGGTAGGCACTGGAGACGCGCAAACCCTGCCTGAGAACCGTTGCTATTCTGCTCATCCTCAGAATTCCTTAGAAAAGGAGGCTGAAGTAGAACATCCACACTTAAAATTTTGCATTAGTTGAAGAGCAGTGTCGTCTTTGGAGCATAAACGTCCCCACTCCCTTCCCCAGGCAATTATTTTATTTATTTATTTATTAAAACATTTCTATGCCGCCCCATTCGCCGAAGCCTCGGGGTGGCTCACAACATTAAGTTAAAATACAAACATTAAGTTATAACATTAAGTTAAAATGTTTGTAAAATGCAAACATTAAGTTAAAATACAAAAAATAACAATATAAAATAAGTCGCCCTGGCCAGATAAAATCCAATAATATTAACAATTAAAATGACGCTTAAATAAAAAGGTCTTCGCCTGGCGCCGAAGAACAAATAACGACGGCGCCAGGCAGACCTCTCTGGGGAGCGCATTCCATAGATTGGGCGCCACCGCAGAGAAGGCCCTCCTCCGAGAACCCACCCTCCTGATTTCTTTCACGGAGGGTTCCCGGAGAAGGGCCTCTCCCGCAGATCTCAGGGGGTGGGCGGGCATATATGGATGTAAGCACTCCTTCAGGTAACCAGGACCCAAGCTTTATCATAAAGACATAGTTATATATGTATAATTCCCTAGATTTTTGTTTGAGGAAATAACATTTGCATGAATTTTGCTTTCGGTAACCATTTGCAGACTCTACTTTAAAAAAAAATCTTTATAGGCCTTGTCTCAAATTTAGAGGAGGCAACAGTGGGTTAGATGAAGATAGAACATACTTACAGTAGACTTATTTAGCCATGATTGATTGCAGTTCCATTGGGTCTCCTCTAAGAAAAACTACCCCTGCATCCAATCCTACATGTTACACATAAACTCTTCTAACCTCAACCTATACTCAATTCACCGTATCCTCTCCCTTTCCAAAGTCCATTTGAATACAGACAACTTTTAAGTCTCTGGAAGTCCCTCCATGTATTGCTTTACGGAGAAGCTACATGTTACACTCCTTAAAAAAATACCCACCACCAGCAGCAGCTTGATTCAGTGTGGCTGCTTCTAATCCTTGGAGGGCAGAAGATTATGGGTATCCTGTCAAGGGTAGGAGGAGGGGTAGAGGCCAAGATTACCTCCCCTCGTCTTCCATCCGAGTTTGGCAGCCCAAGCCTGATGCCCCCAAACGTGTTGAACAGCTGTCCCCAGAATCCCCATCCAGTGCAGCCAATGGTGATTGTACAGGATGGGAATTGTGTTCCCAAACTTCTAGAGGATGCTTAGTTAGGGAAGGTGACTCTAGAGAAAAAGGCGTCATCTCCAGGTTGAGCTGTGGCAACTCCAATCCTTCCCTGCATCGTCAGGATTGTTTTGGTGGCCCAAATGGGACATGGAGGGGCCCTTCCTGAAAGCCCCCCAAAATAAAATGTGCTCTATTTGGGACTCGGTTAAGGGGTGAAATCTGACAGAGTCTGTTTGAGAGAGCATGGTGCACCTGCACTCTTGACTTCTAGTCTGAGCCAAGTTTTTGTTCTTGAGTTTAAATGATGTTTGTTGTGATTTCTGTTGAAGAGTTAATTTTTCAATTTCAGTTTTCTTTGGCCCAATGGGAGGCTTTGGGGTTAAATCTGGTTCAGAAAGCTTGAAAGCTGTGGTATTTATAGCTGGAGCTTGCCTGAGGTCGCTCATTCTGGCTGCACTGAGCATAAAGCAAAGTTTCCCCTGGGATTGTATTTTACCTGGATTATATATAATTCGGTTGGGCTGTTAATATTTTCTTGTGCTGAAAGGGAGTTGGGTGAACTCGCAACCTCACAAAGCTTTGTGGACCACCCCACAAAGTTTAATTTTTAGGGTTTTTTAAGTAAAGGAGATGAAAAAATATGGTGAACTTAAAATGACTCGACTTTTCCCACCCTGTGTGTTAACCTGTTGAATTTATCTTGCAAAATAGGTCAGATTTATAGTCATCAACCTTCAAAATGTGGGTGGAACCAGAATGCCTGAATCTTCTTGATGCCAGCATTTCAGGAGCATTTGCAAGGTTGATTTGGCCATGGTGGTGGTCCATACAAACCTTGCTTGACCTAACCCAAAAATGCTTATATCAGTCAGCCTGGAAAGTTTATTTTGTTTCAATCATTTAAATCTTTCTTTAAATGGTCTGCAATTCACCTTTGGGATAGAGGGCATTCCAAGGTGGCCTACAGTAAAATAAAAATGCAGTGATAAAATGAAATAAAGCCATATTTAAGTAAGTCACCATAAATGGTCTCCACCAATGGCAGTTGGTGATAGACGGTCCTTTGGTGAAGGGGTCAGAATGGTCCAACGGGTGCAGCCTATGAATGTAATGTGAGAATATGATTTTGGAGACACTTAGGATGGGCATGTATAGTATATATACCTCAAAGTAGGTAGTTTCAGATGAGCAGCTGAGTTCATATGTGAGAGAGGAGTAAACCCAGGGACTCATCAGAAATCTGCTTTGAAATAGAGTACCTGTTTCATGCTTACTTCCTAGAATTTTCTAGAAAGGCCATAATTTTAGGAACGGGGTCCCTTTCCAATGTAGCCTCCTTAATAATCAATTCAACAGCTGGATTCATGCCTGTTTGTGGAAGGCAGATAAGAACAAAGATAACAAGATGAGCTTTAAGGAGCTCAAGAACTTCCTGAAAGAAATTAACATCCACATCGATGACAGCTATGCCAGGCAGATCTTCGAGGTAAGGAGAATATTCTTGGTCCAGTCCTTGGCTCTGCTTCTGCAGTTCTTTACTAAGTTTGGCAGGGCCCCTCTTACTGGAGGGAGGGCTCCCCAAGGACCCCACAAGCCTCCGTGTACCTCTCCACCATACCTCCTTTCCTTGCAGCAAGCCTGGTCAAGACGGCTGCTGTGGAGCATGGTCCTGTCTCTCCCTCCCCAGAGCCTGCTCAGATGCTGTCTGAGGAGGAGGCAGAGGACCAAGCAGGAGAACAGGAGCTCAGAGATTCAAGGTTACCTAGTGAGGAAGCTGCTTTCTCCGGAAGGGGTAGGATGGGATGGGGGAGCAGATGCATGACCCAGTCCTTGACCTGGCCAGGAGGCAACAGGAGGCGCGAATGGCCCAATTAGAGGGTCTCTGGGATCCCCACCATCTTCTCCTTCAGCAGCAGGAGTGAGTCAGGAGCCTTTCCGAAAAGGAGGGACTGAGGGGAAGCTTCCTGTTTGGATCCAACTCTTTACATGGACAGAAGCTTCTCTCTCAGCTTTGGAGTCCATACTGTCGGGGAAGCTGTTAAGTTTCTACAAAAGAATTACACTTCAAAGGGTTTGTCTTGAGTTTGATAAACAGAAGGAAAAGTGGGAAGGGACCAGCTCACAACCGCTGCTTGCTCAGCACCATTAGCAGCAGAAAAACAAATTTGGAGTTAGCAAGGGTGGGGAGCCACTGCGCATGACCCTGACTGGGGTTGCTGTTCCCCGCTGCTAATGGCAAAGGTGGAAGAGGTGCGGGTTGACCCAAAATCCCACCCTTAGGAACGAGAGAAGCAGCCCTTTGCTGAGCCTGAGCCTTGGTCCGTCCGTCCAAGCGTCGTCTCCTGACCAGCAAGTCTCTCCAGGGTGCGAGAGACTCCTTCCTTGCCCTGTGCACAGATGCCCCCATGTCTCATTACTAGCATCACTAGAAGTGGGTGTTCTTGGGCCGTTCCTGCAATCCTGCAGAAGGGATTTGCTTTGCTTTGTATGGAAAAGGAAGAAAAAGAGCTGCCTTTACCGCTCGTGTCCTGGAACTGTCATGAAATGGTTTAGCTCAGGACTCAAGCCCCTCCAAATGGCACTACCCATTTTCAGGCCCTCAAAATCAAACCCTCCTGATTTTTCAGCACAACTCGGTTCAGTCCTACTGTAGAAAACAGATCAACAGCTCCTTGGTGAGGGCTACCAGTCCTGTGCGCATCTTTATACAGCAGAGCCGACCATCTGCCGCAGTCCTCTTGTTTTGCACTGCCCAGCCCTGGCTCAGCTCACAACCCAAAAAGAAAGACGGTGTTTACCTCTCCTCTCTGCATTCACAGAAATGTGACACCTCCCAAACGGACACATTGGAAGACGACGAGATAGAGGAGTTCTATAAGATCCTGACTGAAAGGAATGAGATCGATCAGATCTTTGTGAAACACTCCGGTGGCGAAGAGACCATGTCACTGGGCCATCTGGAGAGGTTCCTCCGAGAAGTTCAACATGAGGACGGTGCCGGACCTGAACTGGCACTCTCTCTGATTGAGAGATACGAGCCTAACGAAACTGGTAGGTGTAAAAGCCTGGAATGAATTGATCCATTGACCATATTTTACTCCCTCTTTCAGCAGAATGCAGTCAGGCGCGCTTAAAAGGTAAAAACAACAACAACAGGGTCTACAAATCTGAATTATAGCTGACTTCTGAAACAAGTGTAGAAAGCCTTCTGTAGTTCAGGGATGACTTTGACTCATTTGTAATCTTAGGGGTGCCAGGGAGGGAAAATGCCAGCCGTATGCTCTTCCTTACTCTGTTCTCTCCTCCATTTGGGGATGAAAACTGGATTTTTCTGGTTTTCTCTTGAAGGATTTCATTCCACATCACTCTACTGGTGTTGATCTGATATGCAGTAAGTAGAGCATAGATTTTATTTTGGATGGTGGGAGTTTTCATAAATTGGATCATTCTTTTCCTGTTGATATTTGCACAAATTAGGTCATTTAACAAACCCTCCAGTCTTTTGCAAGTATTCAAGAGCGACGTTTCAACTGTTCAGAATGTGTCGTCTTGGGTTGTCAATTCTCTTGAATGTTTCAGCTGTCAAGGGGAGTACCAAAGCAGAGTATGGAACATACAAGGAAATTGATGAAGCAAAATTGCGTAGAGACTAATTTGCACAATTTAGAGGCTAAATGGAGAAGAAATTTTCACATTGGCTGTAAATTTGCCTGTATGCAGTCTTGTATAAGGAAATGGACAAAACAAGACTATGAGTATCAGACTGCTTCATCTGTGCTTGTGAAAGCACTGGCGGGAGTGTTGACAAAACACACACAACTCTGTTTGCACAAATTTCAAGATAGCTCAATTTGCACACATTTTCCTCAAACCCGGAAAAAAAGCACAAAACATTTCCAGAATCAGAAAAAAAATCCATCACCTTCTGCCACTCGACGAGAGGCCTGCGAAATCCCGGAGACTCAAGTGGAGCATATGTTCCATCACTGCACATTTCTCATTGCCACTGAACCGTGTGTGGTCCTTGAATCATGGGTTGCTGTGTCAAATGAACCCAGTGGTGCTAGCAAACCGTGGTTGGTTGACCACGAATTCTCCCACACGTGAGAGAATCGCCTTGCCTTCTTCTTTGTGCCGCTGCTTCTTTTGTTTGGGGATTACTTAAATGGCATTAATTGCATTCCTTCCTTTTTCCCTTTTGCAGTCAAACAAGGGAAGTGCATGACCAAAGATGGCTTCCTGATGTATTTGCTGTCTGCTGACGGGAACATTTTCAATAAAGCGCACACCCAGGTGTACCAGGACATGGGTCAGCCACTCAGTCACTACTACATTTCGTCTTCCCATAACACTTACCTCATGGAAGACCAGCTACGGGGGCCTAGCAGTACTGAGGCCTATATCAGGTAGAGTGTGATCTTTCCACTCCCGGAGCGGGCTAACAGTCGGGTTGCCAACGGACGAGGGGAAAGAAAGGTGTGTCGCCTATTTCCCCCCATTCTTGCTGGATTCCAGAAAAAGAAGGGCACGGGGTAATTAGCTTTGATTGTTTGGAATCAGTGCAGTGTAGGGCCACGAGGATTGCAGGAAAGCTGTATGAGGTGAGACTGAGGGAGCTGGGTCTTTTCAGCCTGGGGAAGAGGAGACTCCGAGGGGATCTGTTGGCGACATACAGGCATGTGAGGGGATGTCACACGGAGGTGGGTAGAGACCTTTTCTCCCCTGTGGAAGAGGGCAGGATGCGTTCCAGTGGAGCCAAGCTCAGGGAGCCAAGGTTCAAGTTGGATCCCAGGAAGTGCTTCCTGACAGTTATGACCCCTAGGGCATGGGATGGTCTTCCATAGGAGGTGGTTGAAGCCCCATCGGTGAGGGTGTTCAGGAGCAGGCTGGATATGCACCTGGTAGGCATGTCATGAGTGGAGCCGGGGGTCAGACTAGATGGCCCAGGAGACCCCTTCTGACTCACTCTGTTTCTATGTTTGTTTGTGTTTTCACTTGTCCTAAAATGTTTTCTGGAAGTTAGGGCTGCGCACAGATTTTGCCCCTGCAGTTCTGGAGGAATTTGGGGAAGGCGACCTTCCCCCCTCTGACATTCTTGTAGGCTGTGCCCCACAGCTGTGCAGTGGGTGGATCACCTGCAGGGGGTGCCCGCACACTTGCTGGGGGTCTCCCCGGTGCATTCAAGGTCCCTGCTGATCAGGTTGCCCAACGAAGCCTATGCATGGCTGCTTTCATATACATCAGAGGCCCCTTCTGAAGTTCCATCAAGGCCAGGAGATGTGGTGAAATCAAAGATGGTTCTAGCAGTGACTGTCCTTCAGTCAGCGTCAGGGACAGTGGGAGGTGTGGTTGGGCATCTCCCAAGGGCCCCTGCCCTAGCAGGGGCCCCCTAGCAATGACCCCCTGGACTTGCTCCTCCTCTCTGCCCCGACCTTGGAGTATTCACCTCCCTCTCACTCTGCTCGGAAAAGCAAGAGCAGAAGATGCTGGTGTCTGCTTGCCCACTGGCTCTCTGCCTGCCAAGCACGCCTGGGGTGGCACTCAGAAGGCAGGTGAGGAGGTGAGGAGCTGGACTTAGTGGCCACAAGCCTCGCTCCCGGTGTTGTGGCCAAGGGCCCTCAAAAACACGGGTGCAGACTGAGCACCACAAGGGCTCCATCACCGAAGTGCTCTTCTCATCAGGAAGAGTCTCCAGATGTCCAGCTGAAAGCAACCTTCCTGTGACTGCAGAAAAGAAAGCTTGGCCCTCTTCAGGGGTTTGAAGAGCAGACAAGACGGAGGTCCTGTTGGTTGGCGGATCGGGCTTCGGAGAGGGTGAATTGAACCTTGTCCTGAATGGGGTTGCACTCCCTCTTAGGGACAAGGTCCGCAGCTTGGGAGTGCTCCTCGACCCAGAGCTTTCACTGGAAGCTCAGGTAACAGCAGTGGCGAGGAGCGCTTTCCTCCAGCTTCGGCTAATTCATCAGCTGCGCCCCTATCTGGAGAATGACTGCCTTGCGACAGTGACACATGCGTTGGTGACTTCCCGTTTGGACTTCTGTAACGCGCTCTACGTGGGGCTACCCTTGAAGACGGTCCGGATACTTCAATTGGTCCAAAATAGAGCTGCCAGGCTGCTGACGGGGACTGGACGTTATGTTCACATGACTCCAGTTCTCCGTCAGCTTCACTGGCTTCCCATTGAAGTCCGGGCCCAATTCAAGGTGTTGGTTATGACCTATAAAGCCCTAAACGGCTTGGGTCCTGGTTACCTGAAGGAGCGCTTACATCCTTATATGCCCAGCCGCCCCCTGAGATCGGCGGGAGAGGCCCTTCTCCGGGAGCCCTCCATGGAAGAAGTTAGGAGGGTGGTTACTCGGAGGAGGGCTTTCTCTGCGGTGGCGCCTAAGTTATGGAATGCGCTCCCCAGAGAGGTCCGCCTGGCGCCGTCGTTATTTGTTTTTCGGCGCCAGGCGAAGACCTTTTTATTTAAGCAGTATTTTAAATGTTAATATTATTGAATTTTATTTGGCCAGGGCGGCTTGTTTTATAGTGTATGTTTTATATTATATATTTGTATTTTATTGTATGTATTTTAAAATGTTATTTTATTTTTTTGTTGTAAGCCGCCCCGAGGCTTCGGCGAATGGGGCGGCATAAAAATGTTTTAATAAATAAATAAATAAAATAAATATGGTGCTGCCCATCCAGGACAGGTGTGGCTTCTTCACCAATGTGACCCCCTCTTGAATGGTCATCTTTTTTTAAGATGAAGAGGACTCCAGTCCATGGAAGCTTATGCCTTCGCACATATGCTAGTCTTTAAACTGTTTTTTCTTCCCAGCATAACAGATGCTGATCAGGGCTGTGTTGACGACAGAGGAAGCCCTGCCAGAAAAAACAAAAGCTTGAAAAATATTTTGTTCTCCCTGTGCTTTTTTTAAACCCCTCGTGCTGTAGCCAGTCCTGTACATCACACACTGGAGAAAGGCAGACCCTTAAAACAGGTGTGGTGTTATCTTTGCAGAGCACTGACCAAAGGCTGCCGGTGCGTGGAGCTGGATTGCTGGGATGGGCCAAATTCAGAGCCGGTTATTTACCACGGCTACACGTTCACCTCCAAGATCCTTTTCTGTGACGCCATCAAAGCCATCAAGAACTATGCTTTCAAAGTAAGAAAATCCCTCTTCCCCAAAACCTAGGAACATGTCCTCATTTTTATGCATTGGCCTACTTAAAATAAGAAGGGGTGTGTGTGTGTGTGTGTGTGTGTGTGTGAGAGAGAGAGAGAGAGAGAGCGCGCGCAAGCGAGCAGCCAGTTCTGTTTTTCCTTTTTGAGTAGACTTTTTGGCTCATGCTTCTGAGCATTCTGGCTCCTGCGATCTTACCAGGTCTTACTCCTAAGTTTCCCGTCTTGTTTTTGCACTCACAAATGATAGAAGCATGTTAAAAACTCGATATGTTCAGTTGCTGAACACACGATCAGTGCAAAAGGGTGGTGCAGTTTTTGTTGGATTCCAGCATATCTTATGTCAGGTGAAGGGAGAAATATCCCCCAGTCCCTTCCATCCAATATTATATTAAGAAATAAATCCATCCCTGAAGCGTGGGAAAGTTGTGTGTTGAATTTAAAGTAAGGCTAGAATACTTTTCTTTGACAGGGAGCTTTGTGCATGTGGGGGAAAGTTTTGTGAATTCCCAGCAGCTTTATAAAATTGTACTGTCCATCACAGTCCGTACCGTGTGACTGTTCCGATCTTGCCTTGGCTAGAGCTGTGTAGCCTTGCTTTCAAAAACATAAGCCTTCCATGCCTGAGAAAAAAATCCTGTGCCAACAATTCTACAAAGTGAAAAGTTCTACGTTTTTCCCTTCATATATATAAAAACATGCTGCTGTGGCTTCTCTTCCTACGTTCTGGTTTTGATAGCTGGTGAGCTTTCTAGTGGCCTTTCCTACCACGATCCTGCCATTACTGAGAAAGCTCTGTTTTGCATGCCACTTGATTTGTTTCCTGGAAAGAAGTAACCTGGAGCAGAGCTTTCTCTGAAGACCTCGAGGACTGGGCAGCTCACACAGAGGGAGATATCACACAGACACACAAATGTTGTTCTCTCTGTTGCAGACCTCCCCTTATCCTGTCATCATATCCTTGGAGAACCACTGTAGCCTCGAGCAGCAGAAAACAATGGCTTACCACTTGCATACCATCTTCGAAGACATGCTCTTGGTGGCACCAATTGAGTCGAAGACGAACTGCTTCCCATCTCCAGAGGTGAATCGAATGACATTCTAGGGATCTTACCTTGTTGTGGGTATCTTTGTACTTGGCACCCTACGGTTCTGTATTGTAGCGATGCCAAAACTGATTCCTAGGAGGCTGTTGGCATGGATTGATGGGCAAGTGGCCACGAAACTTTCAAACAGACGTGAGGCGATGGACTTCCATCCCCACCGTGCTGGAAATTCTCCATTGTTTAATCAAACTGCTCTGCACTTTGCTGCCATCTGGCAGGACTTTGGTGCAAATATTCAGGAGGTCTCCCAGAGGCGGCAGCAGGGCTAATCTTCCTCGTGTTAGAGCAAAGTTTCTAAAGAGGCCACCACTCAGTCCCAGATCTAAAACGCCCTGCCTCCGCTATTGATTCCCTGCAGCGAAGTCAACCGCCATGATCATACTCTTTAGTTAAAGATTAATAACTGCTACCCGTAGATCATTATTAATAATTAACCATTATCAATATTAATAGCTAGATCATTACCAGTAATTCATCATTAGGAGGTTAGCTAATTATTTCATACAATGATAGAGCAGAATGATGCAATGGCAGTTGAGCAGGAAAATGCAGACTCCAGGAAAAACTATGAAGGGAAAAGAGATAGGAAATTATTCATTTATTTATTTAGAATTTTTGTATGCCGTCCCATCGCATAGCCTCGGGACGGCTTACATAAAATAAATAGACACAATACAAATAATACAGATAAAATCCAGATAGCGAGTAAATATGCAACAGCGTATATTCTAGGGATGTGGTCCTAAGGAGCCCATGTAATAAAACACTTACCGTGTCCCTCGATTTTGTTATGTCATGCATTCCAGTCTCAAATTCACTCCATCCGCCATGTCTTCTCTTTGAAAACGTTAGTTTCATATGGGTAAATCACATCAAGAGAGTTGTCTTGACCAATGGGTGGTATAGAAATTAATTAAATAAAAATAAGTAAATGAATCCCACCGATTCCATTGCACAAGTGGAACCCATTGCTTGTGCAAGGGAAATTTAGTCCCTGTTTCTGGAAGAAGGCAGGTTAACAGAGATCTTTTATCCAGAAACAAGAGTTTTGCTCATTTTGGGTTACCCCCAGAAGTGCTAAATCACAGGGCAGAAGAGATCCGAAGTGACCCATTGGATCCTGCCCAGCATAATGACAGGTGTGTTTTGAGTGACCACAGCAAGTCCTTCACCTGTAACCTGTACCCAGCTGTGTAGTTATTGGTGGCATCTGTAAAATGGATCAGCAGGGAAGTAATTCTCACTGATCCTCTTCAGCAGGATGTCCAGTACTGTTTCCAAGAAAGACGAGCACGTCTTTCATAGTTCACCTTACCACTAAAACAAAAAGGACCAGCTTTTTGGAGTTGATGAGAATATGGTGTCATCAATGCCACAGGTGTTAACCAACGGGGTATTTTTCATGACTAGAATAATCAGCATCTGAGCAATTGTTGGATCTTCCACAGGTTAGCCTGAAATCACACTGGAACACCTTCATTCTTTAAAAAAAATGTTTTGAATGACATCAGTGCATTAGCAACCTGCTTCTTCCTTTGTCAAAGGCAACTGTTTCTCCAGTACTGTGGAGTAATAGGTATGAGAATGCCCATTGGCTAATAGCTGTGAGGTCATCAGTGCCCCTGGGAGATGAATGCCCTGGCACAGATTCATCATCATGCCCATATTCATCTCTTCTTCATCATTGCACTTTGGACTAGTTGATTTGCAAATTTGCAAACTTCCTTTCTTTGTGGTTCTCTAGCAATTAAAGGGGAAGATTCTTGTGAAAGGGAAGAAACTTAGCCCAGAAACAGAAGAAGTCTCTGATGAGGATGAAGCTGCTGAAATGGAAGATGAAACTGTGAAGAGTGAGGTGGAGAAGAAAAGGATGGTGAGGCTTGCAACCCGATCACCCGAGTCACGGACTTGTGTTCAAGCTTGGGTGTCCTGTACCGCAGTTAATCTGAATTCAAAATGCTACTCCACATTCTCTGAGCCACATTCATAAAATGGCTCCTGGTGGAGAAATTTAACTCTCCAAGTGTCTATCCCTTTTTCTGAGTCACAACATAGCTGTTCCCATAGAGGGGGTTTCTGCATTCAAGGACCCCTTTTGGTATGAATTACAGAACAGTCATGCACTGCAGATTGAAATGGCAAGTGGAAAATTAAATGCCTTGCTTGAAAAATAAGGTTTTCACCAGCTTCCAGAGGGACATCACTGAGGAGATGAGATGGGGTTCTTTTGGAAGGGGGTTCCAGGGCCCAGGGTAGCCACCTAGGTCGCATTTCAGTTTGTCTCATGGAATTCACTGGTGACCAAGTTTAGCACCTCCTTCATAGTGCAGTTTTGGTCCTGTCTTGGAGGGCAGGTCACGTGCATCTATTTAGAATTATTTATAGTCACATGTAAGGGTGGAACCCTCACACAAGATAGCAACCACACTAAGTGGATGCAATTAAAAAAGCCATTAAAACATGTTCTGATAACAGCCATAAAAACTGAGATTACCAGTTAATAAGTGACTAAACCTTCCAGAAAAGATTGATGGCTCCAACAGCAAAGCAAAACTAGGTGGGCTCTCCAGAGCCTTCCTAAAGACCTGCAAAGAAGAGGTTTTATCAACCAGTCCAAGTTCTAGTCTGCTCTCAGCCATGGAGCTCCATCGGTGAATTTGGGCCAGTCACACACTCTAAACCCAGCCTAACTCACCGTCTTACTATTGTGAGGTTAAGACTGAGAGCAGCAGGAGGAGAATTATCTAAGTTGCTTTGCATTCCTGGCAAGGAAAAAAGGTGGGATATAAATAAATAGCTACAGAATAATAAACTCCTGATGGAAGTTGATTCCAGAGGTGTGGGGTCTCCACTGAGAAGACCCTCCCCCTTGGAATCAGTTGATCAAAGTAGATGGACAGGCAACGAAGGCCGTGCTTGATGCTTATCAGTAGTGGAAACCCTCGAAAACCTCAGTGTAGCAAATCTCCTTTTCTGCCTGTGGAAGCCAACGAAGTTGACCATTGATAACTCAGATCTCCCACTCTTGCTTCGTTCTTCTTAAAGAGTGACAAGCTGAAGCTGGCCAAGGAGTTGTCAGACACGGTGGTCTATTGCAAAAGCGTCCACTTCCAGGGTTTCAGTGACACGACTCCCCAGGCGTTCGATGAGATGTCCTCCTTCAGCGAAGGCAAAGCTCTGAAGCTGGCCCAGGAATCTGGTATGTGGTCTCTTCCCATGGCAATCCTCATTCTGGTGTTGCAAAAGGGAATCCATGAATTTATCTAAAGCATGAACATAGTGCTTTATCTAAAGCATGAATATATAGCCAAAGGCCGTCTCATAAACATCCCTGTTTCAACAGCACCCAGCCATTAACTTCTGAGAAACTTACAGGTGGGGCATGGAAAGATTAACCTTTTTCTCGAACACCTATCTTTAGCTTGAACACCTCCATGAGATGAGCTTTTTGAAAAACAAGGTTTCTAGTACCCATCATCCAAGTATGTGACAGCAAGTACTGTGTATTCATTGTGGGCTTGTCCATAAGAGCAATTAGGCTTTCTCAAGAGTAACCCCCGACCAGGAACCATCCTTACAAAGCCTTGAAGCAGGCCCTGAACTGGTTTACCTCTACACTTGGACCTAGAAATGGCACTAGCTGGTTTTCATTATTGTTTTTCCATGGTTTTATTGTTCTTCGTGTGTTTTTTTAATTTTGCACACCTTATTGGGAAGGTTTGCCTTAAATGATAGCCTAACTTGTCTGGTTGAATCCAAATAAAGTTACACTTAGAGTAGACCCATTGGCAGAGTTCAGATTGCACAATAATACACACTCAAAGTAGGGCTTGAGCATGGGTTGTTGGTGAACTACAGGTTGTTACTGAAACATGAGTTAGTGTGTTGTTTGGACCCAGCTGAGATAACCAAACTTGGTGAATAACCCATAGCTCACAACCAGGGATGTGTTAGGGATTCATTTTGTGGGTGGGAATTCATTGGATTCCCTGGGCTCAGCTCCCCAAACTCTAGTTCACTTTGTCTCAGCCAGGAGACCAGGTTCCAGGTTCACACACTCTTGCCAGGAGTTGAGTCCTTGCAAAAACTGTTCACATGGTATCCCTTTCCCACATAATACGATGCAGAAGAAGCTTGCTGGTTGCCCAACCTTTGTTCTGAGAACATCCATGAACGTTGTCTTGACTCAGCTGAGCATGAGAAAAAGACCATGAGCACTGGAGGGATATATTCCACGGAGCTTTGTTGCAACACTATTCACAGCCCTATGACAAACCATCGGTTCTCTTCATGGGTTATTTGCAGCAAACACGCAGTGTCTACTTGTTAGTGTAACTGGGTTCGGACAATGTGAAAACACTCATTTCAGCACCAACCCAGAGCTCAGCTTCTCCCTTCACAGAGTCCTTCTCGAGCGCAGGGACTTCATTCTCATAACTTTCGGGCCACACCTCATATGACCAAGTCAGATCTGCGCCTAATTCATACATGTGAAGTTCTCCCTTTTATTAAACCTCTAGAACTTAATTGATTTTACTGGGTGGGAAGGTGAAAAACTGTTTCTTTCTGCCAATCGCAGGGAACAGCTTCATCCACCACAACGTTGGGCATCTGAGTCGGGTCTACCCAGCCGGATGGAGGACGGATTCATCCAACTATAACCCAGTTGACATGTGGAATGTGGGTTGTCAGATAGGTAACTGCGGCTGAGGGAGTAGCAGGTCAACACAATTGTCAACACAACTGTTTGTGAAGGATTGTTGACCTGTGCGTAACTGAGGTTGGAGGGGAGGGTTGAAGGAGTGATTAGAAAAGTAAATCCATATTTTTGCTGTAAGGGTTAAGCTTGAGGGTTAAACTGCACTGCTTGCGCCTTGTTGAGGCGTTTAAAACTGTTAATTAGCACGTACCTTTTGTTTGCGTTGCGACCAAACCAACAACACACCTGACACGGTATTTTTCTCCTTCCTAGTTGCCTTGAATTTTCAGTCCAAAGGTGCAGAAATGGACATCCACCAGGGCCTTTTCCAAGAAAATGGCTTCTGTGGGTATGTCCTAAAGCCAGAATTTCTGCGAGATGAGCATTCCAAGTTCAACCCCAAGTCCATCACAGAAGGGCCATGGTGGACCCCAAAGAAACTCCAAGTTACGGTAAGCATTGGAGCAAAGAGCCGCCAAGGAGGCCTGATCCCAAAAGAAAGATTTGGGACATTTAACATTGTATTTGCACAACCTGATCTTTGAGTTCTGGCCCAGCCTTCTCCGTCTGGGAGCTTTCCAGAGAGATGCTGAGTACAGTACAGTACAGTACAGTACACCCAGTACAGATGTCCAGGAACTCAGACCCTCTCTCTGCCTTGTGTTTAAGTTCTTGGGAAAATCACTCTTCTAGTTTTACCAGTTCCTTTCTAGAAAAAATATTTAATTCATTAGATTTATATCCCACCTTTTTCTTTTTTAAAGAATTCCAAGCCACTTATCCCATTATCCTCCTCCTGCTCTCAATCTAATCCCCACAACAACCCTGTGAGGTAGGCTGGGCAGAGAGTCTGTGACTGGCCCAAAGTCACCCATTGGGCTCCATGGCTGAGCGGGGACTAAAGTCACAGTCCCACACTCTTAACTACTGTACCACACTGGCGTTGTGTGCTTTGCTTTTCTGAGAGCACCCACAACATTCTCAAAATTCCAGATATGCCCAACGGAGCCAAAGAAACTGGGGGATTCTTGTCATTAATTCGTTTGTATTTAAGGCGCCGCAGGGTCTGTACTCCACAGAAGATGAAATATCTACTCAAGGCAAATAGAAGCCACTCTTTCCTCTAGGGGAAAAGCTTCCTGAACTAGTAATGTCTGGCCCTGCTTCCCCTTTATGGCTTTCTCCCACGCTGCCCTGCTGCTGTTTCCTCAGGTCATCTCAGGCCAGCAGCTGCCCAAGGTGAACAAAAGCAAAAACTCCATTGTTGACCCGAGGGTGATGGTGGAGATCCAGGGGGTCCAGAGGGACAACGAGAAGAAGCAAACCAGAGTCATTGATAACAATGGTAAGAGGAAAGATCCCCTGGTGAAGTTTCCCAAGCCTTGAGGGACGGGCCCTGGGCGGCGTGTGGGTTGTCCTTGTGCCACCCACGGAAACATGGGTTCTTGTGCTCTCTGAACCTGGCTGTGGGGTTAGGGTTGCTGTCGGAAACCAGCTCCCATCAGTGCCAGCCATCACAACCATGGTCAGGGATGGTGGGAGCTGTAGTCCAGCAACCTCTGTGAGAGGCTCCCGGTTCTTTACAACCTCAAATGGGAAAAAATCTAAGCTAGGAGAAGATCTGTTCCACCGTTCGATCAACGGAGGCTTCCACACAGCACCAGCTTCCAGCCTCGGCAGACTTCTTTGCTCTTGCAAAACTCTTCTCTCGTGATCGTTTTCCACTGCAGCTTTACGCAACAGCTGCCTCTCCTTGCTCTCCAGGCGTGGCCTTATTGACACTGAGGACAGTGTGCCGTTATTAAGAAATCACGCTCTGAGAAATTACCAATTTTAGAACTCTGCTTGACCGCATCACTCTCTTGGGGTTGCATCATGGAAACTGCATGGAGAAGTCCAGGCGAAGTTCGTAGGGGTGGGATCAAAGTAGGGCTGGGACAAGACTCACGGAAATCTGTCCTTCCGGCGTTTGTGGACTTCCTTTGGTGCTTGGCAAGCAGACCTCTCTGAGGACAGCTAGTGATCCCAAATAGCGTTCTTAGGGTCGTGAGCTGGTCCCTTCTGCCTTTCCTTATAATGTCGTGGCAAGTGGAGGGGGTCTCTTCGTCAATGAGCTATACCTCAAAGCCACGCCCCCAGCAAAGCCACGCCCCCAAGCCACACTGTTTCCAAGATGATGCAACCTATGCTTATACAATAAAAATGAGCTTTGTCCCTTTTTTGAATTTCTGTTGAGCAATGAATGCAAGATGAGGGTATCTTCGAGATGAGACAGTGACACCTTCTGAAGTTATTTCTTATTATCTTATATATTATGAATGATTTTTAAAATTACGTTCCTACCTTGCTCTCCAGCCAAAAGGCTTATGTGGAATTAATAAGGCACTGCCTGCCCACAGGCTTACTCTCTAAAAACATGTTATGCATGAGGGAAAGTGCCACAGAAAACTCAAGAGCAGGCCTGGTAGGCCTCTCCAGACGGGTCGTTCCCAGGAACTGCTGGGAACTGTTGGAAAAACACCCATCTTCTTAACCTGCTAAATTCACAACTCCAGCATGGTGGTCGCTTCCAGCCATGAACCAGCAAAACTAAGTCTGTTCAGAGGCAGTTGGGGAAGGCCAGAGACCTCCCAGGACCCCCTCCAAAATAAGTGAGGGTACTTGGAAAGCCCCCCAAGAATTCCCTCTACTACACTGGACTGAACTCAGCTTCACCCACTGCAGACTACTGCCCATGGGGAAGCATGGCCCTTGCTATATTTGAGAAAGGCTCATAGCAAACAAATTGACAATTCTTTTTATTAAATAAAACTTCAAGAAGGTCCCCATTTAATATAATTTGCTAGTTTAAGATAAGTGGCATGACCCCCCCAAGCCCCCCCCAACCCCCCCCCCCAAAAAAAACCCAGCTCTGAGGTGCTCGGAGTTTTTTGGCAGCATTAATTGGTACTCGTACATGCTCCCATGGTTAAGCGTTGTCCTAGCTTACAGAAAAGACATGTAATTAGGACTGGGAATTAGGTTTGTATTTTGTGCTTGTTATTTTGAGTTTCCCCCACCCCTCATATATGGCCTTTGCTTTTCCGTTCCCCAGGGTTTAACCCAATGTGGCAGGAAACCTTTGAATTCGAAATAGATGTCCCCAAACTTGCGCTGGTTCGCTTCATGGTGGAAGATTTCGATTTGTCGACCAAGAATGATTTTATTGGGCAGTTCACAGCCCCTTTTACAAGTCTGAAGCAAGGTGAGTCTAGGTGGTTGAGGCCCCATCGGGGAGGGTGTTCAAGGACAGACTGAACATGCACATGGTAGGCATGTCAAGACTGGAGCCACTGGAGCCGGGGGTCAGACTAGATGGCCCGGGAGCCCCTTCTGACTTACTCATTTTCTGTGTTTTTATGTTTCTGTGTTTCTGTCTTTATTGAGAAGTCAGACCTGCCTTCAGGTGCCTGGGAAAAGAGACAGGTCTTAATGAGCACCAAAAAGTTAACAATATTGGTCCCAAGCAGGTCTTGCTGGGGAGAGCGTTCTATAAGCGGGGCCCATACCGCAAAGGCCCCGTCCACTCCAACTGTTTGGATCACAGTTTTTTAGTGTCCAAGTCACCCCAGGGCTCTCCAACACGGATCTTTTTCTCAGCAATGGCAGTTGCTGGCTTGTGGTGAGGAACTGACAAAAGCATAAGAATTCATCACATCCCTCCCGCGACCCTCCGTGCCCGCTGGTTCTTCCTTGTGGAAGCTCTTTCTGCTGAACAATGCCAGTGATCAAAAGCATTTGGGGATCAGGGGATCGAGCATAGTTGCGCATCATCTCTCTCACCCACTTTCCCCCAACCTTTTGCACTCCAGATGTTCTGGACATGAGTTGTCCAGCCAGCAGTCAAGAATGGTGGAGGCTGAAAGGCAAGGGGGCCGTGTGCCTGACTTGCTCAGGGGGAGAATTCGAGCATCTTTCTGGGTCCTCCAGAGGTTTTGCACCACACCTCCCAGCATGCTGGCCCTTGGCTGTGCTGGTTGGTGCTGATGTGCAAAACCTCTGGAGGACAACATGTTGGGGAAAGGTGCTCTGATTCTTTCTCTGAGGAGGATGGTTCAGAGGAGACCTCTGCCATCCAGAGGACTGGATTGCTGGCTGGACTGTGGCCATGCAGCACCCGTTGAAAATCTGCCACGGAAATGGACTGTGGCAAATGCATTCTAACGATTCCTCCATTCTCTCTCGATTCAACGAACCATTTCAAGGCTATCGGCACATCCACCTCGTGACAAGGAATGGCGACCAGTACCCTTCCGCCACACTGTTTGTGCACATCAATATCCTGGACTAAACCCCCAAACCGAAGCAAAACCACCCTCTGTTCTGACTGCTCTCGGGATCCGTCTGCCGTTCCAAGTGGCTGCGGCTCCCCGGCTGCAGGGAAAGCAGTTTCACGATTCTGACCTGATTTTCTGCCAGTGTGGAATCCCAAACGGCTCTCTGGGGAGCTCACGTGCATGAAGCAGTCAACCCCCCACTGCTTGAGTGGCACCGTGTAACTCAACTGTCTGCAGTCAGCTTGCCGATGGTTAACACTGCAGCTTGAAATATCACCTGTCCCATAAATCTAGCAGCTGTTTTGGAGAGGCAAGAAAAGAGCCATAATCTGGCAGGCATGCTGAGAAGCATTCAAGATAAGAGAGGGACAGACCTAGGAGGTGGTTATATTAACTTACGAGGAAGACACCCTGGCATTCCCTCCTCTAGAACTTCTGGAGAATTTATTGGAACTGTAGCACTTTCTTCAACTTGTTCTGCTGATCAAGGTACCAAGACCTCCTCATCTGAATTTTTTTTTTTAAAAAAGCCAAGTTGCTAGCCCTCATGGTTGCTTAGATAAGCTTAAAAGTGTGCAGGCAATTTCTGCTGAAATGTCACATCCTTTTAACTTGGACTGTGGCTACTCGGCACGGCAATGTGATCACTCAAACTTTTGCCCCATGAAAGCTGGCACTTGCAAGCTGCATAAATCATGCAAATGAAGCACATTTGCTTAATTTTATTCCATCCAGTCAAGGGTAGGGTGGTCTGCCTTTTTATGGAGGAACCCTTCTTCTTTTCACAATGAGTGGAAGTTCTTCTCAGTAGTGGTTCTGAGAAGCTTCATTGGACAGTCATAATTTTTGTTTTCTTATGAACTTGAAAACGAGTGCACATTTGAGGAAAAAAGATTCAGGCTTGTAAGGCTGTTGATGTCAGCGGAAAGTTAACTCATCATTGGACAATGCAATTGGTTAAAAAAATTAGCCCTAAATCACAAGCGTGATAATAGAAGTAACAGCATTCTTGGTTCTTCTCTGTCATGTTCCCATATCTGCTCTTTTGGATCATGATGCACTTGTAACTCAGACTTTCCTTGAAATGATGAGGACTAGAAACTACAAAAACCACACATCTAGAAACTTTGAATCAAAGCCTCATTAGGCTGTTTAAAATCTTCTATGAAGAGTTCTTACCATACTGCCTCTTTTACATGACGTGAGATACACTACAAAATCTTTGCTCTCGATGCAACCAAAGCTGAACAATTGCTAAGCGTTCTGTAGATGGGCAGCAAGAAAGATTTAAGTATGTGCTTAACTCTGCAGAATTTAAAGGTGCTGGATCCCTTGCTGCACATAATTTTCTGTAGCAAATTGTGAAAACACTATTGAGCAAATCCTACCGTAAAAGCAAACCCACAGACATGGTAGCTGAAGGCCTGCTTTGCATCTTGGCCACAGGCTGAAGGTTCTGGAAGGAGAGTCATCTGGCAAGCGAAGGGGCGTCCGCTCCCCTCTTGACATGCGGATTGCAAAGAGGCAAGTCGGTGGCTTAATTCTGGGACGGTTCGAACTTCCACCCTGAAGGCAAGGCGAGTGAGTGTGAGAGGCCAGACCTGGCTAGTGGGCATGATCCAGCCTGCGGAGGTTGCCCAACTGGCCCACTGGCTCCGCCCCTTCAGCAAGCCCCACCCTCTGGCCTGGCATCTGTTGGGGTCTTTGTGAAGAGGGGAGGGGAGCCGGAATCCCCCCGTGAGCTCCAGACCTCGATCACGGAGGGACGGAGGGCACACCGGCTCCTCCAGCACACAGCTGCTGCCCAGAGGTCGAAGGGGCTGGCAGGGGGAAGCCGGCTGCTGGCGGCCGCGCTGGGGAGGTCCAACGACATCAGGGCGATGGCTCGCAAGGGCTGGGTGGGCGCTCACAGCCCCGAATGCCGTTGCCCACCGCTCGCCTCGAGAGCCTTTCGGCTCGCAGAGCGCTGCCCAGCCTCACCCGCCGCCCTGGGATTCAGCGACTGTGTTTTCATGCATGCAAGACGCTGCTGTGGCTGAGGGAGGTGTGGGGTCTCGGCCAGCCGCCTTGCAAAATGGCCCAGCTCCAGCACGCTTCCTGGGAAACAGCCTCCTCGATCCCCCCGGGACTTGCACCACCAAACACGCCTCTGGCCATGCCTGGTGGGGACTCACCCTGTGGACACAGAAACCGGCGTGCCTTGATTCCCCAACCCAAGCAGGCATTGCCGCTGGGTTGGGCTTTTCTTTGCTTTTAATCTGTTTATAAAAAGGCCATGAGTAATCACGAAAGAACCTGCAGGTTGATTCAGTGGGGAGGGGATTACTCAGAGGCCGCGGTGCCTTCTTCCCTTACACGGATCCTCATGTTTCTGTGATGAAGGGACCCCAGGGAAGGGTGGCTGCAAACCCCCTTCTCTTTCCTGCCCCAGACCCTTCTCCCCGGGGGTCTGCAGTGCGGAGCAGCAGCGTGGGCATATTCCTCCTCGGAGCCCTGCTTAGGTTCTCCCGCACAAGGGGCAGGATGCAGGGTCAGCCTCCAGCGAGAGGAAGGGCTCCACCCACGGGTGGCCCCCAGCCCTCCACTCCGTTCAGCAGGCTGGCCTGACTCTGGGTGGCTTTCTCAGGGCTGCCCCAGGAAGGCGCAGAGCAAAGGACCTGCTTCCGTTGGTGTCGTCAATGCGCAAGCCTGGACTCGTGCGACCGGATTTTCATGCAGTGCTCTTGCAATCACCCTGTTGCCTGGTCCAGCCCAGTGCCTGGATGACACAGTCTTCCACATCAATCCTTCTTTTCCCACTGATCCGCAAAAAGAAAAAGAGAGAAGGAAGGAAGGAAAGAGGCGCACGGGAGCACATGACATGAGACATTAGGGGTGAATTTCTAAGGCTTCTGCCTGGAAGCACCCCAAGTCTTTGTGGGCCAGGCCTTTCCAACTGCTTCTCTGTTCATGTAATGGCTGTGATCGGGTGGAAAACAAAAAGAAATGATAAAAGACAATTCTGTGAAAAAAACAGTATTTCACACTATGCTTTAAAACATTTTAAAAACTCTAAACAAAGCCATAGTTAGAAGGAAACTGATAGCACAATCTGAATAACCTATTTTTAATTGTCATGATTAAAATGGAAAGCTCTTGAAACTTTTTCCCATCTTCTTTATTTTTCATATGGGGCTCATCTTGGGGTACAGGATGAAACTGGGAGGCTGGAAACGTGGGTTAAATGGGCCTGTGACCAAGGGAGCGATGAGTGTCAACCCGTTTTGCCATACACCCAAGTTACCAACATGCACTCCCAACTTGCCTGAAAGAAGCCGCTGCCTGTCCTACCTCACAGGGTTGTTGTTGTCCTTGGCGCTATGTAAGCTGCCTTGGCTTCCTCCACAGAGGAAAATCAGGTGAGCGCTAAAGGCGTAAGAACAAGAAGCTGCTCCAAATAGGCGGAACCTGGAATGGTGCATTTAACTGCAGAAATAAGTGAGGCAGAGCAGGGAGAATGCGAGCCAGGCAAGGATTCCTGCCAGCTTTTGCTCCAGTTGGACTGGAGGCGCATCTGCCACGGCATCCTCTTTGCTTCCTGTACCTGCAACTTGGTCCTGTAGCACATAGCTGTTGGGGTTGGAACGGGGGGACTGCAGCGGTACCTCCCCTCCGGAGGCTCCCTGCAAATTTCCGGGGTCTTGGTCAAAGCAGAGCAGTTCCCGTCCCACCGACAGAGCAAAATTCAGGGAGTGCAAACCCAGTTTTCCCCACGCAGTGGTGGGGGCCCCAATTCTGCAGACAGGGTGTGTGGGAAGGCCCTCCTCAAGACCAGATTGACATGAAACATGAACATAAAAGGTGCTCCAACCTTGGTACAAACTTAAGATTTTCAAGGTTGGGACAGACCTTACTGAGAAGGTGCAAAGAGGGCGCTCCGTATCCATCATCCCGTGTGAGTGGCGAGACAGGGAGAGCCACATTCTGTTTGCTTGAGTATTTGAGACTGGAAGGAGGGGGAGTCAGAAAAAGTGGCATGCGCTTGAGGACCAATTCCAGAAAAGCTGCAATTGGGAGAGTAATTAATCACAGCAGTAATGAAGGCACCATTGTAATAATGTCCCTGCAAGTCAGGAAAAAAGGACTGACTCATGTAAAGGCCAATTCAGGTATGACGCAGAAGGAAACAGACAATTAAGGGCCTGTAACCTAGAAGCAGCAAGCCCTTGTTAAAAAGAAGGGCGTGGAAGAAATGACTGATGAAGAGTACAATCCTAGGCACATTTAGGTAGAGAAGAAGTCAGCTTTCCCCAGACAGCAAATGCAGACATGATCGGGATTTCTCCCTAAAGGATCCGAGCTGCCAAAACCTGTCTGAATCTTGCCCGCCAGGACGAGCTTTGCATGACTGCGCTTGTGGAACCTCCCGTCATTGCACGGCGGCTTCTTCCAGTGGCTTCTGGGGGCTAAAAGCCCAAGGCGGAAGCAGCCCCCGTTTATTGCTGCCCTAACAGATTTATTATGGCACAATAATAAATTTGCTTAGAAAAAAGAGAACAGTTTGGCCTTGCAATAATGCACCGGGGGGGGGGGGGGGGCTGCAAAAGCAGGGCCGCCAATCCAAATCGGGTTGTGTCACAGGGATGTGCAGGTTAACTCTTCCCTTTCCGCATGGATTTCCCCTTCCCTTCACCCCTAATCGTGTTCTTTGCAGTGCGTGTTTAGATGTGATCACAAGGAGGGGCGGTTCCCCTGAAAAGTAAATTTAATCAAACATCAGAACTGTGGGGGCAGCCATACCAGAATTAAGTCCTTCCTAATTTCTGTTCGGTTTAATTTCCAGTATTAAGTCCTTCCTAATTTCCGATCTGAGCAAATCGCAGGATCTGTTTACCTCTCACACACTGGGGATGAGTGCCTGTCGCACTCTGGCAGATGCCTGGTCTATGCCGATGGCATTAGGGCTACTTTGCAAATTAGCGAGCAACAAACCCTGAGTCGAGCGTTGCTTGAATTCGTCCCTGTCTGGAAAAGTTTGCAGGAGGGGCAGTTCACTTGATTCCACATAAGGTCTGGCACAACATTATAGAATAACACATTTTAATAGTACACATTTAATAGTACATCTTAATCCCACTTTCTACACAATTTCATTTGACTTTCCTTCTCTGCTCCCACCTCTGATTGAAGCAAGAGCAGTCATTATTTTTAAAGGAAGAAAGCTGACCTTTCAGGGACAGAAAATCTGGCAGTTTCTGAGTGGTGAGAATGGAGCCACTCTGCTGTTGGCAGCACAGAGGAATGCTGTAGAACTGGACGAGTTGGTTCTCTGTAGAAAAGCATCTGTATTGCATGCAGAAGACTTCAGATTTGGCCCTGAAAAAGCTCACATAGTTGGCAAGATCTCTGCTTGGAGGGCCACTGACAGAGGGCACAGAAAAACCCTATGGACTAGCACTGGAGGAGAAATCCATTTCATTTGCGTCTCACACTTTCAGATCACTAGATGAACCCAAACTTGCTTATCCTTCAAAAGATTCACTACTATGAATTTTGTAGAGCTGTTCTCCAATCAAAAATTGTGTACAAAGGGCATATATACTAGGTAAAATAACATTAAAATGCATTCTTTTAGGAAAAATGTTTGCAGTTTTAGGCAAAAGGGAATTGAAAACATGAGGCATGTTCACAAAAATATTTATGACTTTTCATGCACATTTTTTAAAAAAATGCAATTTGGGATAAATCAAACAAGACTCAAGAAGTTCTCAAAGTTAGAGAAGAATCAAATTTAAGATTGGAAAAATAACAAATGAAAGATACCAGAATTTGTCCCTATGAAGGTACTGGTCTAATTCAGTTAACAGTCAGTAAAAAAAGTCTACTTTTTTCCTTATTGCCAACAAACCCAGGATCCAGAAAGGAACATAGGTACCATCTCCCCATAGAAATGAAAAAGCAGCATGTTTTCTACCACACAACTGAAAGTGAGTGCTACTATTTCCCCCTGCCCTAAATTTGGCTAGACATGTCCTCTCTGCTGCTCAGTCTTGGCAGCATAACAAAATAAGAATCGCCTTCTTGGCTGAATGGACCAAAAGTCCAGCATTCGGTGCTTAATGGCACGTACAGATGCTTGGAGCAGGGGATCCTGCATTCCGTGGTGTTTGCCCAGGGTTCGGCATCCAAAAGTACCTTAACTTTTACAGTTCTTCCAGATCAGGCTTTTGTTTTCAGAAAGTTACAGTGGGGGGGGGGGGGGCGTCCGGACAATGATCTCTTCCATTTGTACCCTTCTGTGTTTTCTTGATGCTTCTTCCATCTCTTTTCTCAGCCCATGGAGCTGGTTAAGGAGGGAAAGCTGGAAGAGCTACACAGTCTGTTGACTCATGGGAGCCATCTACCTGGGTGTCCCTGTACACAGTGTCTTTTACAAAAGAAGGGTCGGCCTGCCTTTCCACGCTTCCCTCCAAGTGGAGGCCACAGGCTCCTTCACCTGCAGGCTTGAGCAAAGGTGTCCCTGTTTCCCTTCCAAACTTCTGGCGAGCCCAGAATGAGCACTGAAGCCCAATCCATTTCCCGCCATCGCTTTTCCGTTCTCACCTTTCTGCAGTTGGGTCTCAAACTTGCATATATTCTCACATGCTCTGATTCCCATGTTTCACTCTGATACTTATAAGAAACAGAAAATTCACTTGCCAACTCCCACCCTAACAGGAAAACACCGTCCCGTTTTGCATCCTGATGTGGGACAGTTTAATTTCCAAACACACCCAAGAAGAAAAACGTTCACATACTCTCTCTTCATGCAGAACTGTGCCACAAGGTGGGCAGGAAACAGACAAGCGAAAAAAAACTGATGGCCACGTTTAGCTGTGGGGAATGTGGGGGAATATAATCCCCCAAACCTTTCTTTGACCATGCTTGTTTTGGGGGTGGGGTTTTTCATGTCCTTTTCAGTACTGGGGTGCAAAGTGCTTTTTTTCTAGCATCTCTTCCTCCCTCACTTGCTGAGTTGCCCCAGATGAATGCTAAGCAATGGCAGGAAGGAGAGGAGAGCCGGGATGCCCCTTCCTCTCAAAAGAGTCCGTGTTGTTTCTTCTCGTTCTGCTGCTTCCACTTGGGCATCTGGTAGAATTCGTCCTTGGTTTTCCCAAAGATGTCGTAAAAATCCTCGTCAGACAAGTACCACTGCAAGAGAGAGAGGGACGTGTGAAGATACAGCCACCTTTTGCAAGCTTTCGTTCAGCTTTTCAAAGCGCCGCATCCATGCTCTTCTTTGGCTCTGGCCATGGGTTACATCACTCATGGCTTTAAGAGAACTTCAAGTGCACAAGTTAAGGAAGGAAAAGTGGAATCCTGCTGTGGTGGGCAGCTGGCAGCTCCTTCAACGTTGCAGGACTGCTGGGTGCCTTGCATTGCATTGTATTGCCATGCCGTGCCATATAATTATAATTATATCAAATAAGATGATAGATTTGCATGCACAGACAGGATTGCAATCACTAATAATGCACACTGTCCTGACTGGATGCCGTTTCCCTCAGTGCCTCGCAGCCAACTGTGTCGCCTGCGCAAAAGATGTTGCGCTAACTAGAGTTATTTGGAACAACAGAAGGATGGGAAGGGGCTGGGCTAGTATTTTGTTTGCTTGCTTGTTTGTTTATAGTTTTTACATGCTGTCCAATACTAAAAGTCTCTGGACGGCTTACAAAAAGCAAAAGACCAAAAAAACAAAGCAACCATGTACATCAAACAACACGCTGCACACTGCATCAGATAGATGATGATAAAATCAAGGCTGAAACCAATTTGCTGTTAAAATATTGGGAAAATTAAAAGGTGCAGAAGGACACTGCGGGATATGGGCCAGTTTCTCTCCCAGCAGGGAACGTGCTCTTAATGGCTTCTGGCTGCTGCTTGTCTTGTTCGTTTTGGTGGCTGAGCCAGCCGTTCAGAGCACGGCTCATTGGAGGCGCCCGCCTCTGTGACCGGCCCCTAAATTGTCCTGAGCAGCGATCTCTCTTGAAAAGTACCTTCAGCTCTCTGCAAACAGGGCCGATGACCTCCGGAGGTACCTACACACTCCGACAGTGCCACCCAGTGGGGAAAGACCGTAGTGACGGTCCCAGTTCACCAAACGGATGGCCAACTCCAGTTTTTTTGGGCAGTCAAGTGTCAGAACTTGCAAAGTGCCAACCCGCCGGGTCACCAAGGTCACTGGAGGACACTCTCCTGGTGGCCCCACACAGACCCAGAGCCTGGCTTGAGCTCACCAGGAGAAGGGCCTTCAGTGCTGTGGCCCCATTTCTATGGAATTCCCCACCTTAGGAGGTCAGGCAGGCATAAAGATCCTGCTGTTTTCAGCACCTTCTCAGACAATCTTATTCCAGGAAGCCTTCCTTTTCTGACCAGCCACAGTCTTCAAGTTATTTTGTTTTTAAATGGTTCTGATGTAGTGTTTTTAATCTGTTTATTCATTTTCACATTATACTGTTCACTGCTCTGGAATCTGTCTGGATGTGGAGCAGTACAAAATACTTAAGCTAAATAAAACACTGGCTTCAAGGGGAATTAGGCACATTTATGGAGGAGAGATCTACCAGTCCTCACTGCTTTACTTTCTCCAAGGTAACAGGCAGGAGAAGGCCGTACCCAACCCATGCCAAGCTTGGAGGTTTCCTACAGGAACCTAGAACAAAATGCTGGATTGGATAGTCTTTGGTCCCATCAGCAGGAATGGTCCTTATGTGAACAGACTTACAAGAGTCTGCACTGTTAAAAGCAATTTTAGCTCCTTCCAAGAGCGCCTCACCTATGTAAACAGACCTGCATATCACCAGCGGCTCAACAGAACGACCATTTTGAGACATTTTAGGGAGTGTGAATACCACTTCCCTGATATGGACCTTCTGTCATAGTTAACAAAAGCTTTCTTTAATGTTTTCTGTTTCTCTATTACAGTAAAATAGCCCTAAAAGCAGGCCCTTCACTGTTAGTCTCCCAATTCAGATAGTCCCCTGCTGCCGATTAAAATCGGTTTCCCAGCAATCAAGTAATAAAAGCTGCTCTTGACTGTTGTCCCAGTGAATATTTGCATCTAAAGTTTAAGAGACTCAGGGTGCAATGCAATGGCACAGGATCAGTCGGTGTCCCAGCTCTGAGATTGCGTGATCTTGGAACTGGCACTCTGAATCCTGAGCCCGCACACCCTTTGCAGGGGCCGTGGAAAGAACCTTGGTTGCTCATGGCCCTCAACAGAGGGGAAGAGGCAGGTGCTGGGGCTGAGGACTTGCATCGATCCCCATCAGCATCCCAGCCTCCTTCCCCCCGCACAGCCACGCAGGGAAGGAGGCCTGGGGGCATGGCAGATGCTCCGGCCATCCCTCAGGGCACAGGCAGCTGGCATGGAGGGCGAGGGGCGCAGGATTACAACCCTCCTGAATAAGCAGCCGAAGAACGTCCGAGAAATGAGCTTCGCGACACGCTAAGCAAGAGGGCTATGCCCCATCACCTCTTTTCTGGTGGGGTCCACGCCTTCTGGAAGGTCATCCAACAGCTTGTTGATCAGCAGGTCTCTAGGGAATGAGCCTTTCCCACCGGCGGCGCATGACGGGGCCTTGTTGTTGCAGGCGTTCACGTTGCTGATGGGAGAGTGAGGTTGGGACGCCTCCGGACTTGTTCCACTCTCTGAAACAGCTGGACTGATTGTTTTCAGCTTGCTACCAGTCGCATTTCTGTTGTTCAGGTTGGCGTTTTTAAGATCCTGCCATAATACAGGAAATACAGAGCACTTTTCACATGGCAGGGGGATAACCACACCTGTCCCCATCTGGCTCCACTGCACAGGAAACAATGGCTAATTAGCGCCTCTTTTTCCACCTTCAGGGATCCAGTGGATTTATCTAGACTTGGTAGCTGCCTCATTTCCTCCCATCTTCAGTAAAATCAACCTTAAAAAAAACCTTTTTCTCCACAAAGCAGCACAGGTAGATAATTTGAGACCCCAGACTTCAGCCCTGCAGACTGGGGGATACTGGGACATGTTCCCCTTGCCCTCCAAAACATTTAGATGTCTCAGTTAATTGTCTGGACATCAATGGACAATTAACAATTGTCTGTCAATTGTCCATATCTGTGAGTAACTGCATTCAAAACTACATTTTTTAAAAGTGGGTAGAATATATGTGTATTGGTCTGTTTTTAATATATCACCTTCCCTTATGTATCTCAGAGCAATCCACAGCGGCAACATTTCAGCAAACCGAGGATCAGATTTTTACATTTTTTATATTTAAATACTACTCTCTTCACCGCAGGGACTCAGGGTGGCATAAAAGATGCAACATTAAAGAGCCGCACATCTTTGCCACAGAACACCCGAGAAGTAGAAATAATTGGGTGAACGTCCAAGGAACAGTTAAGGTCAGCAGTTCCCAGCATGGTGCTGATTGAGAATGATGGGACTTGTAGTACAAGACAGCTGCAGGGCACCAGGTTGGAGAAGACTGGTTAAGATGGTAACACCCTTTGTGGGGAGGGGCTGATGAATGTGTTCTTTTGCTTTTCACAGCAGACCCCAGAAGCAGGTTGTAGTACCAGATCAAAGCGTCCTCCTCATAGGATGCTCAGCTTTTACACTCACCACAGTGATCTCTGAGATAGCAGATACATCTCCTAAGCCACGCTTCATCTCTTCATAAGACTTGCCATCCTAAAAGAGGGATATTCCAGGTATCAGGCTGACAAGAAAGCCCTTCTTAGTTACCCAAAGGACAGGATGTCCCAATCAGACCCTAAACTGGAGGAGAGATTCCCAAACATCTTTGCTTTGCCACAGACACACGTGTCCAAACCATAAAAGAAACATGTGGCCAGTGAGGAAATACAGAAAACACCAATAGAGCGACCAGCCATTCTCAGCCTTTGCGTGCCCCTCATCCACCAACAGGCAACACACACGGCTTATGCTGGGCGAAGCTGGTTGCGGGATTCTGGGAAATGTAGTCTGACACTGCAAGCCAGAGGTACCATCTTGGGGAAGGTGGGCCTTGCAGGACCCAGCAGGCAGTGGCGCTTGGTGGCTGCCATGGACCCAGATGCCACTGGCCTGCTTGCTCAGGTGCCGTGCAGGTAGGTGGGGTGGCCGAGCAGGACAAGAAAGCAGCAGAATTCAACCCCCCGCCCCAGACTGCGATGGTGCAGCCACTCCCCAAGCTCCGAGACTGATCCCACAGTTCCTTACACTCCACTTATACGGATCCCAAGCTGTGAACCACCCGGTGAAGTTCAGCGGTTCGTGGCCTTGTTTCACCAGGACAATGGGTGTTGCTAAGTCTCTTCCCGCTGGATGGGTCTTCAAGTACTCCTTGGCTGAGGAAATGGACTCCTGCTTCTCGTTGTTGTTAGCAGCTTTGCCGATCCAGAGGAAAACCTACAAGAGGGGAATGGGAGATCGAACAACGCACAGTGCCCTCAACAGACGATCAGGTGTGCCATGGACCACTCTCCCGTCATTCCTACTCAGTCCTCCCACGAGCTCCAGCAGGTGCCCCAGGCTCCTTTGCACCAGGATTCCCAGGTCAACACCTGCTCTGCATTTGACCCATCCATCCCACATGAACTCATCACATGGCATTAATTTTTGGAGCCCTTGTGAACACGCTAACACAGCTGCCCACTTCCTTTCAGGAATCTTCACGGTTGCCCAAGCACACCTCTCCAATGTTTAGCCAAGCATCAGCTGCGCTCCCCTCTCCCATTTCCTTACACCGCTACCCGGCAGGTATCTTGAAAAAGGGAACGAAAAAGATTGCTTCGTGTTATTGTGAAGTCAGCTCGCCTGCTGCCAAGGTAAGGACACCTGCTGGCAAAGTGCCTGCACTCCAGGTGCCTTCAGCAACTCCGCTCTCTTCCTCCTTGGCACATCCCTCCATTGTGCTAGCTGACACGTCTTTCTAAAAATTACAGAGCAGCGAGCAGAACCGGGAAACATACACAAATGGCATCACAAAGCAGGGCCAAAGCTATAAATTAAGACAAGTTGCAAGTCATTTTTGGGAGCCCGGGGCAGAAGGTCCTGGGAAGGGATGAAGGAAGGTGACATGGTGCAAGCTTGGGAGGAATAGCAGGTCCTCCCTGTTTCCATCAACCCACACTAGAATTCCCACGTTGGGTTCAGACAGCACAAAACAAGCTATGCATTGTCAGGATGGCTTCCAAGTAAAACATAAGCCGCCTTGCAGAAGCTGCACCGAGTTTGCACGACAGGACAATCATCCATGGCGAGGTGAATTGTTGCATTGTGTGAATGTGTCTCGGAAGACGAGATCAGTTCAATCACTAGGTAGCACTCTAACTCGCGGCTGCCATTTAGGTTAACGACGTACAAGGCAGCTTTGATACTTTATGAGAAAAAGAAGCAGCTACAGAAATGCTGAGTTTGGCCAGAAGCACATGGGAGAGAGTGTCCTGCTTGCTCTTCTACCCTTTTGAAAACGCAGGGTTCTTTATCACGGGGCTGAACCTCTTCCCTTGCAACACCAAATTCCAATGGGTCGACATTCCAGTGGGCAAACTGATGAGGCTGGAAATGCCAGTACATTTGAGCTGAACGTCCTCGCCGGTCCAGGAGGCTCACAAGAGGCATGTCCACATTTGCAGGTGGGAGAAAAGCTGCCCCAAAGGTGTGCCGGCACCAAACAGTTAGCAGCTGGGGGAGACGGGGTGAGGTGAAGAGAGCACAGCCAGAGGGGCATTCCCCAAGGCTACAGGTGAGACCCCGGGTGGGTTGGAGACGGCTCACAGCTCTACATTACATTGCTCATGCTTTTAAAATTATATATTTAGACAGGCTGTAGGCCCCAGGTCTACTCACTGGAGGGCGCTTTGCTGAGGACCCTCTCAAACCTGCACCCAGCACCTTGCATTTCTGTTGGACTAGAATTCTCATCATCGGTGTGACAGCTGGGGATGATGCGATTTGTAGTCCACCACACCTGGGGGGTGCCCAGTTGGAGACTGCTATGGTACAGTTATCAAACATGAACACATCACATTGTCCATGATGGCAGTGCTGAGATGCAGAAAAAGCTCTCAATGGCTGGAACCCAGGTATCTTTTAAAAGCCCCGGCTTTTTCCTTGCCCAGGTGTGAGTGGGACAGATCCTGCCCTTTCCTGCACAGCCAGTGGAGTCTAAAGGTCAGTCCTTTGTTCTCTGTGCAGCCCAGGAATCACAGAAAGCTACTTTCCTCTGTTGTCTGGTTCACATTTCACTGTGTGCCAACCACCCTATTAATTCTGGAGTGAAGTTTCGTATTCCTGCCAAGAGACTTGGGCACGAAGGAGTCCTGGCAGAACACAATCCATCTCCACTGACCTCTTCCCAGGTGTCCAGCAGCATGACATCATCCTCATCCAAGTCATCCTGGCCAAAGTCCACAATTTCTGTCATGATGAAGCGCCCTGTCTGATTAGAGCATTCAAACAAGCGGGGCTGGTAGTGGGTGGTCTGTTCTTGGAACCTGGACAATGTGACATTGGGAGGAAAAGAGAGGTAGGATGAAACACATTCAGTTCTAACATCCTATGCTGCTTCTCACCACTAGAGGTCAGGTGTTCAAATGGCCACAGAAAACTAGGAAGGTGCTTGGCTCCCTGATTGGCCTTGCTCCCTGATTGGCCTTGCTTCCCCATTGACCTATAGTGGTCACTCACAGGTAATCTCCTTGCAGTGGCTTTTCAAATGACCTCTGTACCTTCACATTTGCCACATCCCAAAGAGGGAATACTTGCCTTATGAGTTACAGGTGACCAAAACTGTTTCAACACCCCGCCACCCCAATTTGTCAACAAGATTGTGTGGATGCACTGTTGCCGATCGTCATGCAGAGTCTGTAGAAATGATCCTAGTCCATGGTGAACCCTGCACGTCTCACCTCTTGTCGCTGGCATACGGAGCCTTTCCTCCAAGGGCGAGCCAGAAGTCTGCTGGCTCCTGACCCTCTAGAACAGTTTGCTTGTCCCTTTTGGAAATGATGTCAGCCACCTGCTTTGCCATCTCTCGTTCGTCCCCACTGCAGCCCTGCACAGGGAACACAAAGCCATGGAAAATCAGGCATTGATGGGAAAGAGATGCGAGTCTGGTGAGGGGTGGGGTCCCATGAGCGGATCCTCCATTGGGAGAATGAGACAGACTGAAGTCCGTGAGATTGGAGTTCTCATTTTCTGTAGAAAAGAACTTGTCCTTGTCTATCTACTGTAAGGCTGTCCGGGAAATGGTGCTGTTGCTTCTAGCCACTAGAGGGCAGGTGTCTAAATGGCCGCAGAAAGCTAAAATGGAAATAAGCTGTTTGGCTCCCTGATTGGCTTTTGCTTCTTAATTAGAATGTAGTGGGTCACTCATAGGCCATCTCCTCCCAGCGGCTTTCTCAGCAACCTTTGTAATCCAAAGAGGCTGCTTTCTTCAAACTGGCTTAAGGATTCAGAAAAAGGACATGGTGTATCAGAGGTTTACATGCACCTCCATGAATGACACCTTGCCACTGAATTTGAAACGTTTGCCTTGACAACACAGGGTTTGCTGTTTGGGAAGAGAGGAGAGGAAGCGTTCAGATATCTGCACTCGCACACGGTGCAGTCTGGAGACCTTGTCCTCCATATCTGGACTGGGACAGAGTCCCGGTACAGAGACCCTCTGGGCACAGAGTTTTAGCATTCATTAAGGGCTCAGAGACATTGCTGAGTCCACAGAGCACAGTGCCCATGTTATTGTTCCCATGCAGCAGTTTGGGGGTCTCCATTGATAGCCTTTGAATCAGGCTGCAATCAGAGCCAAAGAAGAGTCAAAACAAGCTAAAGGTGTGGGAAATGGAAACCATTCCTGGATTTTCTGACCTAATTCTAGATCTTCATGCTTCAAGATTGCTATGGCCCGATTCCTTGCCTTGAGTGGCAAGGAATTCCCCTCCAGTATGACCATCGGTGGACGGATATCTGGTGGGGCCTTCCCAATGGGGTATCTTCCAGACGTGTTGAGCTACAATGCCTACCAGTCATGTTGGCTGGGGAAGATGGGAGTTGTGTTCAACACACTGGCCTGGGGCACTGCAGTGTGTGTGGCATTCCTATCTGGTTACCTTTCCACACCACAGATAGCAGACTTGGTTGGTCTTGAGAAGGAAGACATCGTTGGAGTTGAGGGAGGAGGCTCGGGCTGGAACCTCAATGGTTTTGGTGTTGAATTCATCCGTGCCCCTCACTTGGAAGAGCCGGACAGCTTGCTGCGGCTCACTTGGCTGGCTGCGCCCTGTGCCACCCTGGAAAGCAAAGCACGGTGCTCAGAGCCAAGTCCGCATGGAATCAAAGAGGTAAGTTGCTTCCACAGAATTGTTATTGCTAATTTAATGGCTGCACTGCCCTGGAGCTCCAGGAAAGATTCGCAGTAATTCACAACAGCAGCACAATATTAGAAATAGATAATAATAAAAGCAAGACACCAAAAACCCCAGCCTGAACTTCCAATATGGGAAATTTAAAGCAGTTTAAAGCAATGTCAGTAATAAAGCACCAACGGCTCCTTGCATGCGCCGCTTAACCGCGAGGAGGAGAGAGCAGTCCTAACCAATACAGCCAGAGTGGAGTGTCAGACCGGGACTCAGGAAGCCTGGGTTCCAGTCCCCTCTCGACCATAGAGCTCACTCCATGGCTTTGGGCCAGCCCGACCCTCTGCCTAGCCTACCTCACAGGGATGTTGTTGTGAGGACACAATTGAGTTATTTCAGCTGGCCTTTTTCCTCTTTACAAGAGGAAAAAAGACGGGCCCTAAATGCAATGTAAGAATAATAACCGCAGCAGTAGCTGTAGCAGTAAGAGAGCTCTTGGCACTGCTCGGTTTGCTAGAATGAGCTGGACGTGGAATTAAACTGGAAGTTTCCCACAGCACTTTGATGCTGTGCTTGATGCCGTTGGTGCCCTTCCCTGTGGCCAAGACCCTCCCGCGGCATTTACTCGAAAGCAAGTCATGTTCAGCAGAGATGCTTTCTAATGTGAATTAAAAGCTTTGCTGCTCTGGCCCATTGATTACTTCCTGTTCGGGGTGGCTGGGTGCATGCTTCTTGGGGAGCCAGGCCATGCGTGCGGCGCAAAAGAACAGTCTCCCCTTTCTTGCAGCCCAGATTTCTGCTTTCTCAAGGTGAGGGGGTGCCAGGGAGCTTCAATGAATGGATTCCTTCTAGGATTTGTTTCTGCGCTTTCTTTTACAGGAAAATAGCTGTTTGCCAAACGGTATTTATCTTCTCAGAAGGGCGCAGTATTAGGTTCATCACTGCAGAAGCGGGGGTGGACTGCGGCACAATAACGGCTGATTTCAGCCTCCTGCTGAGTTTGTTGCTAAGCGGGACCCTTCGCTGCCGCTGATGCCATGTGGTCTCTGTGCCGCTGCTGTAAATAAACTGACATAGTCAAAGGCTCTGAACCGGGCCGGCTGCAGTTTTGCAGTGGCATCCAGCCGTGAAAATGCTTTCCCTGGAAATACGTGGGTGAGGCATGAATAGCTGGGCAGGCGGCCTTCCCCACACCCCTCCCCAGAAGGCAGCTTTCTCCGTTCTCCATTTCTTCTTCCCCTGGAAGCAGCAGCAATGCAGAGCTTGCTTAAATGGCATGGGGCAAAGCAGCAGCTGCCAGAGGGAGGGAGGGGGAAGGCTCCTGAAAAGACGGCGTAGCTCGGTGGGGAGTGACCAGATGGTCCGAAGGCACAGAAGCCCCCTGCCACGTTGACGCTAAGCAGGTCCGAGGCTGGGGAGGGCCCCTGGGAACTGCAGGGAGCCTCCTTGATCCCCACCGTGGGAGAGAAGGGGATGGAAACAGAACAGAGAGATCCAACAGGAGAGGGACAGGGAAAGGAAGATGTCCTATTTCATATGGATGTAGGACAATCCACTCTGGCCTTTTCCAGGTCTACGTTCATTCACGGCCAAGGGTACTGTGGTCCACTGTGAAGCCCTGCCCATGTGAGAACCCAAAATGGCAGTCAGCTGTGCCATTCCGCATCAGCAACCAGTTCTTCGGAATTTGCATCTGCTCTGAGCAGGTCTGTGGCAAAGCGAATGAATCCTGATTGCCCATTCAAGACAAGGAACAGAACAAGAGGGAAATGCACATGTGTGAGAAAGGATCTACTGAGCAAAATAGGCCTTCCAGGTACCCATGGGAAGCCTTTTATTATTGCCCAACATGCTTCAGAAACATTACTTTCCTTACTTCTGTTCTGCTTTCCATTGCACCTGGCTTTCCTTTTTACCTCTTAGTTCTTTTTCCATTCAGGAACAAGCCACCCCGAAATTATTTACATTACAGCAAGACTCACTAAACTGTAGCTGTGAAAATTAATTTCTCCCCAGCTCTGGTGAGAACTACAGTAGAGAGGCCTGGAGGATGATGTCAAATATCCCTGTTAATAAAAAATGCCCAGCACTACTTCCCTTCCCCTCCACCCTGCAAAAAGCAAATTCCACCCCCCCCCCACCACGCACCCTACTGTCATATCCTTGCCCGGTGCTAATGTGACACTTTTTCTGCCATATGCGCACAGGAAACTTTATTTCAGTCCTGTCCAGCATGGAAACAGCTAGTGATGCATTAGGATTTTGGTTTTCCTTGTAAATCACCGCAAGCACGCCCTGTTCAAAGGTCCAGATGTAAAAGCACACTTGCGTTGCTACTAACATTTGCAACCTGCTCGATGTGTGTTTATGTTCAAAGCGTGCAGATTTGCCCGTTCAACTACGCACGAAGTTCCTGGTGGAAATGGGCGGGCAGCCTCTGGCAATAGCTAAGATGCACAGCTGGGGGAGGGGAGTTTCTGAGACATAGACCAGGAGGGCCTGGCTCTTGTCCCCATGATGTGGTGTCAGCAAAGAGGGTGGCCCAATTAGAGGAGAGGAGAGGAGCTCACTTTCAGAAGGCCCCTCATCAAGGGATGGGGCCCAGGCATGCTCACAAGGAGAGCTCCTGAAGGTGAACGCAAGCTTGGGTTCAACAAACCGCTCTGTGCATGCTCAGAGATTCATTCTGGGCGACCTGTGCTGTTGGGTCCATAAAGAGCATTTTGCAAGGGAAACGGTCTGCGGCTTCTGAACGCTTGAAGGAGGAACCTCAGCTCAGGACAATGTTTTTTCTCCTCACAGAGGAAACAGAAGAGCCCCGAAGGTTCTGCTTTAAATCAGAAAAAGCATACCTCATAAATGATCAAACTCCCCTTGAAGATGGCCAGGAAGTGCCGTGGCTCCTTCCCCATCGTCACGCGAACCTGCACTGGCTCGTCACCGTATTTCTTGTCCAGCTCCACAGCATGGAGAGCACATGCTGTTATTTCATCCACAGAAGCGTGGCGGCCCTGGAGGGAGGCAAGGAAGCACATGCGCTGTTTTCCCAAGGCCCGGGAAAGAGCATCAAAATCGGGTAGCAGCCGCTCGAGGGATACAGAATTAACAAAAACAGAAGGCGAGCGCTTGTTTGTTTTTTAATAGGTCTTTAGAGGGGACTTGATAATAATCTTTCAGTGCATTAACAGTATCTTAATGAGTCCCGGATTCATTGACCCTGTTTCTGCTGCAGATGAGACAAGGGGGGAAATCTACTCGTATCTCAGCCAAAAGGGACTGGCAGCTTCCATGTTAGGGTGGACTTTCGCATTGGAAATGGTTGATGGAGACTTTTGCAATATTTTGGACTTGTACAGGTGCTCTTTACAAATTCTTTAAGAGTTTTTTGTGTCTTAATTAACATGAATGAATCTAGCATTATAATTTTGGCTGCCAGACGAATGGGTAAGTAGGGGATTAAAAGAGCATTTGTGTTCCTTAATAAGTGGGGTTTTTTTATTTTTTTAATGGATAGAACCTCTCTTGTCTGCCACTGGAATTTTGTGCACCAATCAGAACCTTTGGAACAAATTTGTGTGGCACATAAGGGACAGAGAGGAAAGGGAAATATATTCCATCTGCAGTTTCTTGTGTCCCCAGTCCGCTCCAGAGGATTGTGAATCCAGAGTCAGTGCAGTGCAGGGGCACAAGGATGGTGGCCGAATTTCAGGGGAAGCCATATGAGGTGAGACTGAGGGAACTGGGTCTCTTCAGCCTGGAGGAGAGTCCAAAGGGATCTGTTGGTGACATATAGGTAGGTGAGAGGGTGTCCCACAGAGGTGGGTAGAGACCTGTTGTCCCCTACAGAGGAAGGTGGAACGCGCTTCAGCAGAGTCAAGCTCAAGGAACCCAGGTTCAATTTGGATGCCAGGAAGTACTTCCTGACAGTCAGGACCCCGAGGGTGTGGAATGGGCTTCTACAGGAGGTGGTGCAGACCCCACTGGTGAGGGTATTCAAGGATAGGCTGGACAGGCATATGGTGGGCATGTTGTGAGCAGAGCTGGCTGGAGCCAGGGGTCAGACTAGATGGCCTGGGAGGTCCCTTCTGACCCGCTCAATTTCTATGTTTCTGTTATTTTATTTATTTATTTATTTATTAGAACATTTCTATGCCGCCCCTTGCCGAAGCCTCGGGGCGGCTCACAACACAATAAAATACAATAAAATACAAAAATAACAATATAAAATTAAAATTAACAATATAAAATAAATAAAAATATAAAAGATATAAAAGAAGTTATAAAAGAAGTTATGAAATGCTCGAGAACAGATACAGGGACTGAACAGAAATGTCATGCCATGAGTGGATCTTTGCTGTGCAAAACGTCAGAAGCAAAGCTGTGGCATCCATTAAAAAGAAAACAAGTTGCAAGAGAAAAAACGGAGCAGGTCCTGCTTCCGGTAGCCAGTATGGTAGCCTGAGCTCCATCCTGCGCCACGGTAAATGCCCAAAACAGCGCCCCCTTCCAAGCGATTTAGACTATGCCTTCCAGGAGGTCCCAGCCAGTTCTCCAGGGGATGTGACTTGTGGGAACTGTGCTGCAAAACATCAGGACAGCACCAACTCATCTGTGTGGGCATAAAAGCAAAATGAGCCACACCATTTCTAGAACCTTCTGACCTCTGCCTGGGGCAGCTGTAGATTGGGCCTGAAAAGCAGCATGAAAAGAAAATGTCGGAAGAAAATCCTGAAACATTCTACTGACAACATTGCCTGAATAATGAAAACTCAAGTGCCCGTCTCAGCCATTACTTACAAGCCACATGTAGATAATATAATGAGGTTTGCCTGATTTTGTGTAGGTGTACAGGATGAGGTAACAGTCTCCACCATAGAATTGCCCGTAGCTCCTGGGACTGACAGGGGTCATTTCTAGATCTTCAATCCTCCACACCTGTATGCCAAAGCCAAGAAGAAGCAAGGCAGGTTGGAAAGGGGAGAGAGAATGCAAAGCAGGTCAAAAGTCAGACAAGCGAAGCCAACGCAATCTTCATTTTCTGAAATTAATCTTCTGTTCCTGAACATCAGAGCTCATCTTCTCCCTGAGTCCTGGGCCTGCTCATGCATGTATTAACTTTTATCCTGCAATCTCCACCACACGAGTTCTTGGGATGGTACATAAAGCCCAACACTAAAGCAGCTACGTCAGCAGAAGATAATGAAATGCATTCAAAATGGAGAACAAATCAGAACTTAGCAGGATTATTTGTTTATATTTAAAGCCTGGGAGCATTTAAAAAAAAAGTTTTCTTTACCGCTAACCTAAGTGTGGGCACCATGCGGTACTGAAGGGACGAGTTCTAGGGGCTGTCTTGGTGGAAACTCAGCAAGTTCTTCCAGTTGCTGCTACAACTGATGAAACCAGGAAGGGCAGCCCAGCAGATGCCTGGATCGGCATTTGTTTGTTCCGGCTGAACTACGCTTTGCTGCATTTCTCAGGATGCGTGCTAGGTCTCAGGGTTGGGTTACGAAGGGAGAGCAATGCCAGGTTTGGCATGGCTACGCACCACCCGCTCCTTCCCTTGTCCTGCCAGTCAAAACATGTTCTAGCAGAAGCCAGAACTTGTCCTGGTAGCAAAAGTGATGAAATTGAGGCTGTTGTGCTTCAAGGAACATCATGAGAAGAGAGTGACCCTGGAGAAGACAATCATGCCAGGGGAAGGCAGAAGAAGAAGAGGACAACTGAGAACGAATTGATGATGATGTTCGTCCATCGTTTTCGATGGGGACCTTGACATCGAACGGGTTGTGAGCTGTCCAAGGCCGATACGGGCACGGAGTGTTCTGCCACATGTCGGGCAGACATGTGCGGGCACCACCGTTGCAGCGTTTGCAGCTCTGGCTTGACTCCATAAAGGAAGTCACACCTTGAGTTGACAGGAACAGAGCAGAGCTGCAAGGTGGAGACCACCTGATGGCACAGAAGGACAGCAACAAGCTCTGCTCTGTGAGCCAGAGCGCAACTTGCGGGGGCAGACGGAGATCGGGAAAAAGCACTTGGGACAGCGCAACTCCCCTTCTCCCACTGCAAGCGTGGAGCGACGGGGCTTCAGCACGTATGTCCATCTCGCCACTGAGACTTGCAAGGCTGCACCAAATTCCTGCCCGGTTCTGTTCCAGCCCCGCTCCCAGCAATTGGCTCCCGTCGGTGCCCCGCTAAATATTCTCGAACTCCATCTCCATGCGCCAGACTCACTGCAGGCCCCGCTCTCTGGTCCCACCCGTGACCCCAACCAGGACGCTGGTCCTCGAGGGCAGGCCTTCCTTGCAGGAGGGGCCCCTTCCAGGCCCCTGCCAAATCGCATGCATGGTTGTTTCAGCCGGACTTGCGGCGGCATCTCAGCGCTCCACAAACCTGTGGAAGTTGCACATTAAAAACAGCAAATGGGGTGGAAATATCATCCGCTGCGCTGCCCTCTTTGTGTCTTGAAAACCGACCACAACACTCACCTCGACTTTTCCGGAGGCATCATCTGCCATTCTCTCCTCGGCGGCTAATTCTGGTCTCGCGTGCAGCTCAGTGATGTCAAATTTCAGCTGATCCACCTTGGCTGCATGTAGAAGCAGAACATGAATCTCATTCAAACTGGCCATATATGCTTTCTCCACAAGCAGTGTATGTAACATGGGTCAGGTTGTGCATATCCATAGTCTCTGTGGCCTCACTGGCACCGTTCTCATTTCTTTTGCTTTAAAAGCAAGTTTCGAGCCCTTATGAAAGCAAACATAAGGTTGAAACCATATGATTGCGCATCTAGTGAAATCTCTGGTGTGTGGACATCCAAGTAATCACCTCATCTTGTAATAGAGAGCTCGACAGGTTAGCTATACTTTGTGTGAACTAAGTTCCAGCCATGTTTGCTCTGGAACACAGGAGTGTTTAACTGTTAACTCCTCTTCCTCCTCCTCCTCCTCCTAAAACACTATAGAGCCCATGCATGTTTAGGCAGAAAGAGCCCAGGTGAAGCATGCGAGGAGTTGCGTGCTTTTTCCCTGTCTAAACATGCATAGATTGCACCCTGAGAAATGGATGCGTTTGAGGAACAATGCAATCAAAAACATTCCAGATCTGGGATAGGGGATCATCAGTTTCCTCTGCAGGACTGTGGTCCCTTAAGAGCGATCTGCCGGAGGGCTGGGCTGGCCCAAAGCCAGTGGTGGGAGGAAACCAGGTCAAACCTGGGTGGGTCACACGTCTCTCTCTCACTCTCTTCTCCCCCCATTTCTCTCTTTATGCCCCCCTTTCTTTCTCTCTCACTGATTCAGCACGCTGCCAGAAGAGGGGCAGACGATTCTTGTGGGAATTCTGAGCTAATCCCTTGCAGAAAGATTCTGCAATGAAATGAGGCTGAAGGCTAGAAGTAGTCCTGGGACTTCAGGTTGTTTAGCAGGTGGGCTTATGCGGGGCAGCCTAGCAACACTACAACCTCTGTTCATCCCTCATACTGTTTAGCTCTAATTTATGCAACTGAGGGGCAATTTACAATTAACAGCAGCATTGCAGGAGCTTCTGCAGTGCAACCTCTTTGCCTACAGCTCTGGAAACTTTTGTCAGACACGCACCAAAATGCTCTCCATAGCTCTGAGGACCCTGTTTAGCTGGGAGGAAGCCATGGCATTCACTCGGCAAAGGCAGTTTCCTCGTGACCCACAGTGGCATGGGAATCTCTATAGGGAGACAGCTCCCATCCTGCCCCACCATTAAATTTGACTCGGCCACTAGCCAAAGGTAGACTGAGAGCCAAACCTAGCTAAATGCATTTTTGCGTCACACGTGTGGGTCACCATGAAAGGAAACTGTGCAGGGGAAAATCCCCTTCCTGGACCTGGAATTTGCATTGAGTCCAAATGGGAGCCACTTGTGGGGCTGAAAGCCACAACTCTCGCAGCCCTAGCGGAGCGACACAGACGTTTCTGCCTCACCGATCTTGCCAACGTTGTAGGTCTTGCCGAGCCCTTGAGCCTCGTATTTTTCTGTCCACTTCTGGAAGAGCTGTTTAAACATGGCTGACTCTGCTCCATCGTTTATGACTTCTACATTTGTGGTGGGAGGATACCCTTTGGCTTGGATGAAGCCCTAGATGAATCCCAAAACCAGATTAGCGCTACTCCAAGTCACCACAGGGAAGGAATTCTTTTGTTAGCACAGAGCAGGAAGTCCGTGTGGACAGGTGCGATAGTAAAGAGGGTGGCGGATTGTCGTTTCTGAACTGTACTGTACAGTTTTGAGTGGGGAACAGAATTTAGTAAACTCCAGAATCTCTCAAAATTGTATTTCTTTCCTTTTCTTAAAAAGGTAGGAATTTCTAGTCCTTAAGGATTCTAAGTAGTGCTAAGACAATGCCTTGGGAATTGACAAAAGGAAGAAGGGGAAGGTAAAAGGGTCACAGCAAGTCTATCGGGGGCTTAGAAGTGGGGCTTCCACTGTCTCTATAAAACTTCTTGCCCTTTGCCAACACTAGCCAAAATAAAATAATTACATACGTAAATTTAAAACGGTCTTATTACCTTTTCATTTGCCTAGGAAGTGCCAGATCCCAACCTTTCCTGTACAGTTTCCTGCTATTATTTCCACAATTCACACTGTGAACACTGATGCTTATGCAGTCAAAACAGCACAGACAGGGAGTCGGTTTGGGGATTTCAGAAGTTTAAAAAACCGTTTAGGAGAAACAAGAGGCTAAGTGCATGCAAATGATGCCAAAAACAGCCCCATGAGAACTCAGTGTATTCAGTGGCCACAACATCTTGAGTGCTGGGGAAATAAAATTAGCTGGGTGCCGACAAGGGTGAATGGAATGGAGTTTTCTGGCAAAGAGTGTGGCTGCCAGAAATCCTACACAGCAGTACTGAGTGGGATGATGTACGTGGCTGTCCTGCACCAGCAGGGCATTGGACCCGATGACCTTCATGGCCCCTTCCAGCTCTCCTATTCTATGATGATATGATTCCACATTACAACATTTAGTGGCAGGTCTAATTTCACATTCTATTGACAGTCACACTTTTAACCTCACAACAACCCTGCAAGGTTGGTTGTACTGAGTAGTTATTGACACAATGCCATTAGCCAAAGGCTGACACAGAACTCCTGCCCCGATGAGCAGAGTTTCAAACCCAGCTCTCCTTGACCCAAGCCTCACATTTTGTCTGCACCAGCAAGTCTTCACTAACTGTTCTTCCTTGATTTGCACCTTAATTCCCGGTCCTGATAGTGACAGATTTTATTTTCCTGGGCTCCAAGATCACCGCAGATGGGGACTGCAGCCAAGGAATTAAAAGACGCTTGCTCCTGGGGAGGAAAGCTATGGCAAATCTAGTCAGCATACTAAAAAGCAGAGACATCACCCTGCCGACAAAAGTGCGTACAGTCAAGGCGATGGTTTTCCCAGTTGCAATGCATGGCTGTGAAAGCTGGACCATAAGGAAGGCCGAGTGCCAAAGGATTGAGGCCTTTGAATTGTGTTGCTGGAGGAGACTCTGCGAGTCCCTTGGACCGCAAGGAGATCAAACCGGTCAGTCCTAGAGGAGATCAACCCTGACTGCTCTTTGGAAGGCCAGATCCTGAAGATGAAGCCCAAATGCTTTGGTCACCTAATGAGAAGGAAGGACTCCCTGGAGAAGAGCCTAATGCTGGGAACAACAGGTGGCAAAAGAAGGAGGGGACGGCAGAGGATGAGGGGGCTGGATGGAGTCACTGAAGCAGTCGGTGTGAGCTTGAGTGGACTCCGGGGGATGGTGGAGGACAGGAAGGCCTGGAGAAATGTTGTCCATGGGGTTGCAATGGGTTGGATACGACTTCATGACTGACAACAACAACAACAACCCGGTTCTGATTGGATTTCCTACCACCTTCTTTTTAGGGTTCTCTTGTTTCCTTAACAAATGAATGAAATGTTTATTCTGCCCAACTGGCAAATGTTGTTGAAATAATTTGCAATTCCAAGAATTTAATAGGAAATATTATAAAAATATAATAATAAATAGCATATTTGCATTGTTAGTGTATTTTAGGTTTTATTTATTCATATATAGTATTTGTAATGAAATTTATTTTTTATATTTTTTCCTTCCAAGGAACTCAAGCCAGCTTACCTATTTCTCCTCCTCCTCCTCTCGATTTTATCCTCATAACTACAACAACCCTGTGAGGTAGGCCAGGCTGAGAGTCTATGACTGGCCCAAAGTCACCCGGGGGACTCCATGAGCAAGTGGGGACTAGAACCCGGATCTCCTGAGTACCAGTCCAAACGCACTGGCTCCCATCTGCTGTGGTATGAGCAAATTTCTTTTAATAGTGTTATTTTAGGCATACCCAGTGACTTTTTAAAATCGTAAGCACTCTGTTTGTATGTGTAAATAACATTAACTGATAATAAACAAATCAACAATTTTCTGAGAACTGGTTTGATCACTCAACTCACCACAGCTCGGCTGAATGCTGCTGCCTTTTCTTCTTTGCTGGAATCTTTTCCCCGCCAGACGTAAATCTTAAAACCTCCTTGATCTAAAATGTGACAGTCCTGTTGAAGAGAAAAAAGGTACAGAGGAAAATAAACCTGCAGAGGATTGAACTTATGGCTCTGGGATTACATCCATCAGATCCCTGACGGGCTGGAAGGAACTTCTCACAAGAGGGAAACAGGACTGGATATGAAAGGGCACCGAAATATAAATTGGATAAATTGTATATCCAACATAAATTGGATATACAATACTGGGCACCCCAAAAGCAAGCATATTCTTAACTCTCTCCAACACGGGCTATGTATTACCTACCTCGTGCTGCAAGAGGTCCTGTGTAAGGGGCCGTGTAGCAATTTCTTGAACCACCAGGTCCTTCCCATTTTCATAAACGCTGTGGGCAGAAACAGGCAGTTTAAATGGAGAGGACTTCTACAGAATCAAAGGCCGGAGCAAAGAACAGTTCCCTCAGGTTTAAATCCTTGTTTTAACCCCTTAAGGTTGAGGCAGAAAAAATTCCCATGGCTTATAGAGGGACTGGTCCCCAGGAAAGGCCTTGGTGTACCATGTGGCATTATGAAGACAGAATTAAACAGTTGCATATCTGCCAAATGCATTTATCGGAAGGTGCTTGGGAATTCTTCACACAGCACAGAGGCTGAAGTCCCACTGACACCTTCCTGATCCTAACCTAGACAGGACAGCTCTTTAAAAGACAGTGTGGTGTAGTGGTCAGGACTCTGGGTACAAGTCCCTGCTCAGCCATGGAGCCCATTGGGTGACTTTGGGCCAGTCACAGATTCTCAGCCCAATCTACCTCACAGGACTGTTGTTGTGAGGGTAAGGCTGAAAACAGGAGGAGGAGAAAGATGTAAGCTGCTCTGAGTTCTTTAAAAAAAAGAAAAATGGTGGTTTGTAAATCTAATAAATAAATATATAAAACAGGGTTTTTTTTTTCTACCCAGGGCTGTTAATCTGCTATATCTACTTTTGGTTTTATTGCAGAATCCAATAAAAGCATTATACAAGAAGCCTTTTCCTCCCTGCTTTTCCATGACATAACCTCTAGGTGGCACTGTGGGATAACAGAATAGTGCAAATGCATAAGCAAGAAAAGTGTTTTCTTTTGGTTTTTAGATAAATACTGCACTTTCCCTCCTTTTAGAGACTTCACCATGCTCTTTAGACATAGAGGCTTATGATGCCGTCTAAAGTACTTGTGAGCAACTACGAGCAGTGAATGACAAAGACATGTTAAATGCCTCATACAGAAAATCTCAAGTGTGAACCATTGGCGTGTCAAATGGGTGGGTGGGATCTCACAGGGCGAAAAGAGTGAATCAGTGGTGGTGTGGGGGGGGGGAATCAAATTCCTCCATTACTTAAATGCCTCTGACACCTGAACTCTGCCAGGAACGGCCAGCGGGCACCCAACCTCTGGAGCCAACCCTGATTTTGGGGGCTGCACTTATTTATTGTAAGCTGTTCTGAGACATTTGTAGGGGATGGTAGAGAAAAGGCTTTCAATAAATAAAGAAATGAATCAATTTAATAGTAACAAAAGCATGATTCAGTTTCCTGCCAACGGATTCTGTTTTTGCCATTCACTGATTATACGAAGTAGGCGCTTTGATTATTTGATTATTATCTACATCTCTTTCCTCATCTCAGAATTTGGGATGTCAGCATCCCAGAATATGTTTTTGTTTTCAATGTTTTTTTTTAAATCCAGAAAACTGAGACTCGTTGCGGCCATTGGTTCTTTCGGGTGGCAAAGGAGAAAAGGAAGAGCAAGCCCCCAGAGCCCGTGGGTCAGAAACTTACTGGTAGAGACGGACGTTGGCTTTCTGGAGCTCATCAGCTTTAGCATCGGGCATCGCCTCTCTGAGATCTCGGTGCCGTTCGCCGAGTGCAGCTCTCATGATCTGCATGAGCTCCGGGCAGTCTTTTTCGTTGTCAATGATGCCGATCTGAGCACGCCCGCCTCGCTCTCCGTCCCGGATGCTCCGTGCCAAAGCCATTGCCTGCCGCATAAAGGAATGGAGAGAACTAGAAACACAAGATCCTAACTTGAAATTCTGAAGAGCTGTTGCTGCCTGCCAGAGTTGACAAAACTGGACTAAATGGACGAAGGATCTGGCCCAGTATAAGCAGCTTGAATGCCTGGATGCAAACATGAGAGGCAGTGTGGTGCAGTGGTAAGAGCGCAGGGCTGGGACTCAGGCGATCTGGGTTCTAGTCCCCGCTCAGCCATGGAACCAACTGGGTGACTCTGGGCGAGTCACAGTCTCTCAGCCCAGCCTACCTCACAGGGCTGTGGTTGTGGGGGATAGGATGACCAGCAGGAGACGAATGACGTAAGCTGCTTTGAGTCCTTTGTAAGAAAAAAGGCGGGATATAAATTTAACAAATACAGAAACACCTTGCAGCTGTTGTGTACTGAACCAGCACAACCAGTGCGTTTGTCACACCACAATGCAGGTGCCCGAGGAGGAGGTGCTGGAAGCGATAAGGGGGTCTCCACAGGGAAAAAAAACCCTCCCCTGCTCTTATCCAACTATTCCCCGCAGTGGCCAGGTGTATGCCAGCTACCAAAGGGAGCTTGTCCACAGGCAACTGCACGGATTTCCACACTGACCCTCGATTTCTCTGTAACGTTGCACAAGGGCCCGTTCCACTGGATCAACACCTTGCCAAGATCCAACAGGAAGGCGTCTCCTTTATTGAAACTGTCCCACGTAAGATCTACCTGTGTGGAAGTAAAAGAGCACTGGATGTTTACCAGGTCATCTTGGGGAGAGCAATTCAAGGGGTGAGCTGTGGCAGAGCTGGGGTCCACTGGGATGCAGCTTCACCCTCTTTCTTGGCCGGGGTGCTGACATCATCTGCCCCCCCGCCTCAGACGCCCTCCTCTGTGAGGCACAGACTTGGGAGAGCGCTGCTAGAAACTTTTTGTGTCAAGCCACAATCCTCTGCGATGCACTGGGATTCTCTGGCAGGTGCCCAGACGATCCTTAATGCAATAAATAGCGTGAAAAGGGATTGCTCACGGTTGGAAGTTCAGCGAGTCACAATTTTTCCACTTGTGGGTGGGTGGGTGGGAAGGAGATGTTGCTCCCCCCAAGGCGGGGGAGGCCCTTATTTATCACATAAAGGGAGGGTCAAAGAGCGCACCCAACTGCACAAAATTTGGACGTGCTAATTGATACATTCTGATGCACATCTACAAAGAATAGTTCTTATAATTGAAATCAACCAACTGCACATTTCATCATAGTGCATGTGACCCGGTGACCCACTGGCTGCAAACTGGGGACAAGCAACCCTGTGGATGATTCTGCATCTTTATACTGTCCAGGAAGCTTCGGCTACGGGCAGTACAGAAATGGAAGAGATGATGATGAAAAACTGGGAGGGCAGCTGTCCTTCCAGAGCACGGTCTTCCGGCAGCCCTCCAAAGAGAGGACTGTCCTGTCTAAAACAGGACACATGGCCTGGGCACCCTCTGTAAGTGCTACCCAGCCTTCAGGGTGGACTGATGCCAGCTCGCGTGGGAGCGGAGGAGGACAGCAAGTGGCAGGAAGCAGAGGGAGGAGGAGCTTCTGGCTGGAGAGGAGAGCTCCTGGTGGTCCGTCGGTGGGTCGGAGCAGCAGCCGGTGTCCCTGCAGGGGGTTTTGCTCTCAAACCGCAATGTACTGAGCATCACCACTGCCATGACGATGATGGTGATGAAGCCGGGTTTCTCCCTGCTTACCTCCGTAGCCGCCACGTGCTTCTTCCCTTTGATGTGAAGGAGACGTTTGATATTGTACACATTGGTCTCCACATGTTTGAACCCTGACGCAACTCCTCCCTTCTTGTAGCTGTTGGAAAGAACGAGAGTTTCATTACTTTTAACTCTGTGCTGCATGGAGGAAGTTAAAACTTCCAGAGGGGGCCAGGTTGGGAAAGTTTTGCTCTGCATGAGCCACTCCAGAGGAGCAACATTGCTGTACTCCTGTGTAGCGGTGCCATGGCTTGCAAAAATAACGACTTCAGTTTAAAAGAATAAATTACTAGTCCTCATTGAAGTTAACAGTTTTCTGAACATGGGGATAGTGCAAGAGGACTGAGGCAAGCCCCTCTGAAATGGACTAGACTTTTGGTTTCTTTTTGCATCACTCACATGATGCCATTCTTGAAATAACTTTTAAAGGTCTCCGACTCGTGTCCTTGCACCTCTCGGTGTTGCACAGGGTTCCCCCCAAGTTCGTCATCCAGCTGAGTCACATAGAAAGCCGCTGCTCCCTGCTCGTCTTGCGAGGAATCACGGCCGATCCAGTAGTGCAGGTCGGTGGAAAATCCAGTCCGGGTTTTCTTGTTCTAAAGTACATGAAATGAAGTCGGGCAAAGCACAGTTTGGGTTGGGAAATGAAAAGCGCAAAGCGGGGGAGGGGGTTCCCTTTGGGGGGAAAAGGCAAAAAATAGCCAGAGACTCAAAAACACGATGCTAGAAGCTAGAGCTGGATATCGCAGCAATTTCGTTTCTGGATTCTGGACCCCACTTTTCGGTTCTGTCATTTCCAGTTCAGCTATCATCGATGTGATGAGACACAGGTGTTCACCTCTGAGAGGAACTCTGCACAGGGGCAGCTTCCTTCCTCTGTGTCTATACCAGCTTATCCCACCCAGGAGCCCTGAACACCCATCATCCCCAGCAAATGGACTAGCTCCATAAAGCCTGCGGGTGGCTCAGTGGGACTGGAGAGATGCTCTTGATAATTTACGAGATGTGAGAGGTACATTTTTTCCTAGGGAGGCTGATGGTTCCCAGTAAAAGGGTCTTAAATGCATCTTCCAAAAAGAGACATGTTTTCCCCCCCACTATTCCCAAATCTAAGGATGATGCAGTCTAGCCTTTGCGGGTGCTGAATTTGTTCCGCTGGCCCTGAGTGTCAAGATGATTCAGATTCGGAGAGCAGGGACCACGTTCTGAACTTTGGGAGCCGTCATCTTTCCCAAGAGGGTCCATGGCCCACGAGTCGGTGGGCATAAAGAACAGCCCTGCTGGATCAGACCCAAGGTCTATCCAGTCCAGCACCCTGAACACGCGGTGGCAAGCCAGCTCCCTACTGGTCCCCTCCAGCAGGATGGGTGCCAAGCTCCTCAGCAATGGGCGTCTGCAGGCAGGCCACCTCTGGTGAAGGAGGGAGCCCATGGCCAGCAAGACTAGTGGCCACGGATAGCTCCTCCCCCATGAATCTGTCCCATCGCCTTTTAAAGCCCTCCAAATGGGCGTCCATCAGCACTTCCTGTGGCAGCGAATTCCACAGTTTAACTACACATTGTGAGAAGGGCTTCCTTCATGGGATGACCCCGGGTTCAAGGGTCAGGGGAGAAGCTGAAAAATGCCTTTCTGGCCACTTTCTCCACAGTGTGCATTACTTCAAGCGCCTCTGCCACGTCCCCCCCCCCACCTTCTTGCTAAGCTGAACGGTTCCAGCTGTTCCAGCTGCTTGTTGCCCTTCTCTGTATTTTTTCAACTCAGACATGTGTGTGCAAATATACTTTTTATCCCTCCATTCCTCCAAATATCTCAGTATAATACATGAAGTTCCATACAATCATCACTTTATTTGTACAGCAACCGAACAAGGTAGGTTAGGCTGAGAGTCAAGGCCAGTTCTGCAGCTGAGAGATTTCAGTCTGGGTCTCCCGGGGCTCCGTCGAACAGCCTGAACTCCACACCACACCTCCTGGGGGATTCTGCACCAGATGCAGAACAAAACTAAAAGCAAGGTGTTGTTGTTTTTTAATCCGGTAAAGCCATGGCCAGATTCCATCTCTGATTCACCAGACCTGGCTTGTATGTGCCAACTCATTAAGGAACCCAGGGCAGAACAAAGAAAATCAAGCAATCGCCAGCTTGGCTGGGCACCCGATAAGATACCCCAGGAGCTGTCCCCCTTTTCCCCATTGCAATGTGCTGGTTCACCTGTCCCTCACCTGGCCTCAGGTACGGATGGCGTGGGAAGGAGGCGCTGCAGGGGAGTGACTCACTGGCTCTCTGCCTACTAATCAAGCAAGCGGCTGCAACGAGGAGGAAGAGGAGGAAGGCTTGTGCCCGAGGACCCTCCAAAACTGCCTCTGGGCAGTGCCCACCTGTGCAGCGGAGAGGCCACCCCCGGAGAGGCCAGGCTTCGCCTGTTAACAGGCAAGGCAGGTGCGGCTCACGGTGGGAATGCTCTGCCCAGGCAGCTCGGTAAAGAGATCTCCAAGGGCCAAACCCCTTCACCTGCCCAAAGGCTCCCCCAGGGAGACGCGATCAGAAAAACAATGCATGTCCCAACACGCTGGGCCGCTTTGCTCCCAGCGCCTTCCCACGGTAATCATTCGCCCATCGACTCTGCCACGGGGTTGCCATAGTAACCCGGGCGGCGCGGGAGGGGCTCCCCGTCCACCGGGCCAGGCGGGCAGAGCTGGCTCCAGGCGAGCGGTGGCCAGAGGAGCCACGGCGGAGCCCGGGCGCCCAGGGGGGGGGGGGGGGGGACTTAGCGGCCATGCAGCTCGTGGAGCCTCTTCCATCCCCAGGTTATGGGGTGCTGCACCCGTCCGACACCTGCCTGCCACCGGGCTGGGAAGCAGCCCTGCCGGTGCATCCTCTACACAAGGAAGATTTGTTGCAAATGCTCCGTTTTAAGGGCTGCGCTCACTAAACACCCCCCCGAACAGAACCCAGGCCAAGCAAAATGGTTATTTCTGTGCATGTTTTACCATACTGTGAACAAAATTGAGCAGAGCCGTCACTGAGGCCTAGATGACATCCATCAAGCAGCTGGACTCTAGCTGGAAGATTAATCCTCTCATCCGGATGGCACAAAATCCACGGATGCACTTGAAACTGTAAAGTGGGATGGATCCAGGCCTTTGCCTTTTGTTGACAAATCCATTCCTTGTAGAAGGTGCTGCCACTGAATCTCCCCTTTTCCACCCCCTCACCAGCCCACCCTATTTGCCTGGGTCCCCCAACTCACTAAGTGTACGATCCTGTGCGCATTTTTACATAGGAAATAACTCCCAGAATTCCCAGCCTTGTAGCATTTTCAGGGGTGGCCTCCACCCCCCTGGTCACGTGCCTTCCTTCTGGATCAAGCCCACTGACAGTTTTCTTTCTATGTACAAAAAATTCATAGATTTTCACTGGGGTGCTTTTTTTAATCAGCCAGAGGAAAGCATTGGGGATATTTTAAAAAGGCACATTTTCCCCCTAACAAAAGCATGCTAAGAAAGCCCCGGTGAGTAACTTGACTCTGATGCATCGGGAGGCAGACATGCCTCCCACCACTATTTAAATAACTAATTATTTCTTGGTTTGCATCTATGCATATGCTTTAGGATAAATGGCTCCTGTGTGAGCCTATGTCCTGTTCAGGGCAGGCTCCAGGTGGGGGGGCTTCGGGACTCTTCCATGGTCCCCTGCCCTCAGCAGTCTGTTTTCTCAGCACTATGGTCACCAGGCCCCCCCCCACCCCTCCTTGCCTTCCCCAGGACAGACACCGTGTGCACAGAAGACTGGCCTGGATGGTGTGATCCAGGATCGTCTTCTCTTCATAAGAGCAGCAGTAACTGGTGGGCTCTCATCTGTCAGACCCCACTGGGGAATGGGCCCTGGGCACGTGCCCAATCATGCTTACCCTGGCCCTCTTTTTTGGGGGGGGGGATGCACTTCCTCCCACAGTGAACATGGAGCCTCTAATAGCAGCTAATATGAGGCTCTGATCAATCGGCCCTGCAGTACTTCACTTGCAAAATGACCCCATCCACATTTATGTGGTCGATCCCACGACGTGGTGACGGACCTGCCCCAGCACCCATCGGTCTGGCCGGCTTTGATCATTTCAGAGTTCATTCCTTTGATGTTCTGAAATGCTGACACCAGAGATAACCAGAGATAAAAGCCATGAAAGCCTGCTCCCAAACCATCATCCCCACCTAGTGCAGGGTTGGGAGGCTTGTAGCCCTCCGGGTGCTGTTGGATGGCAGCATCAGATGCCCTTGTCCAACAGCAAGGAGTGGTACGATCTGCAACCAGCAACACCTCGAGGTCCATGCAGAAGGGAGCGTGCAGTCTGATTGACTTACGTTTATGATGATGTAACAGTCCCCTTCAAAGAAGCTCCCATAGGCCCTTTCAGGAACAGCCACCATCTTCATTTTCTGAAGGCAAAAAGCACAACCCTCCAGTCAACAACATATGTGGGTGTTCAGGGTGACAACTTTCGGGGCAAGAGAGGTACTCCAATGGCTAGAAAGCGGGGAAAGGCCCCGGTGTCAGCTTAGGCTGGAATAAGAAAAACGGCATCACAAGTATAGCAACATGTCCAGATGAGAACAGTTTAATGTCTGAACGGTATAGCAGGACTCTTTTCTCCAAATGTCTCCCAGGAGCATCTTTTGGAAAGTTGCAGGGGAGGCGTGTCTACCCTTCTTCTCATTTATTTATTTGTTTATTCCTTCATATAACAACATTACATATGACAGCAACAGGCAGCGGTCCTTCTAAACACCCTTCCCTGGCCAGCTTCCTGGTGCATATGCTGAGTGGGAGATGTTACAAGCCATGAAATGGGCCTGTGTACCAGGAAGGTATGTCAAAGGTGCAAATCCATGGCTTATAAATCAGAAAGTCATTGCGGTAGATAAAATGCAATGTTAGATGCTCTTCAAAGGCACTTTGTAACCCTTCCATGTCCTCCGTTCTTCCTGCCTCTGTCTTGTTTAATCTAAGGACCATGCTCTGGAGGAGGTTAGGTCAGGACTAGCAGTAGAAACGGCTCATGGGTGAACAGCCAGTGAATAACAAGCCCTTAAGCACCAGAGCAGCCTTGGTTTGGAGAAGGTACCTGGGATTGTAGGGTCACAGTGGAAGCAGTGGGCATGACAGCCAGTGAATGGCCCCAGGCTAGCTGAATGAAGAATGACGGGAACTAACCACTATACCATATTGCCCTGCTTTAACTCTAGCCGTGGGCAAACACTGGCACCTCTGGAGGGGAATATGTAACTACGTGTGCATTAGCAGATACACCCAAGCAGGTCAGGGTGGACCAGCTGAGCTCTATGTGAGGAATGTACGCCACTGCCCTGGCAAGAGGCAGAGGAGGCAAAGGGCAAAGCCACTGCGCCTTTAAGAGTTGCTTATGCCTGCAGAAATTTCCCCTTCAGCACATCTCTAAAAAGGCAGGCACCCTGACTTCTTTGGCATCTGGCCAACCCCCCACATTGGCAATGATCCTCACCCACCACTGCCAACAGAAGGAATAATTAACAGGAACAGACCCTTTTTCCTAGGCAGCCTCACTTCCCCCCTGCCAAAATCTTACCCTTGAAGTTTCCATGCATGGCAGCACATGCATATCTGGATAATCTTGCACATAGTTCTTGGCTTAACCCACTAAATGAAGTTTTCCGCTTCACCTCTAGCAAGGTTTGCAAAACCGGACAAACTTGTTGGCTGGAACCAGGAACTGGAGATATTTTGATATGCAATAGCCCAGGGGTGAAGACACAGGTTCTATATGTGAGCTTTAGGGCTGTAAGTTGTCAAGCTCAAAGTCTTTAATCTTGACTGAGCCAGCAATACTTTAATTAGACCAAAGGCAACCAAAAACGAACCAAAACTCAGCTGAAAAACACCCAGTGGCAAATTCAGCTGAAACACATTCACTGGATTCCAGGGTCAAAACTACAATGCTTTTTTCTGACAGAGTACTGATATTTTCGACAGTTGTTTGAAAAGCAGACAGTGAAAAGGTGACAGTTTCCCTCAACATCCTGAGGACCAGTTAGCCAGTGACTGGATCTGGAGAATATGATAACCCATTCTGGCTACCACAAGATGCGCATCACCCTTTGCTCCTGCCAGCTGGTGTCCAATCCGCTGATGCTTATACTGCTGTTTCCCTGAAGAGCACAGAGTCCTTCTACCTGCATCCCATCCCATCTGTGATTCCGGCCAGGGTACCAGCACCAGGGCCATATGAGTGAATAGGGTGACAGTGCGTAACCCATCAGGGTTGATTCCAGGCAACAGAGCCCGCGCTGCACCGTTTCTGACACTCGTTCTCCAGTGTCTGGAAAGAATTTGCCAAAACGGAGAACAGTTTTTACCACTGCTGAAATTTTTCACGAAAGGCTCACCCTACCCATGTTGTCTCAAAGATAGGCTGGACGTGCACAGGGTGGGCGTGTCGTGAGCGGAGCCGGCTGGTGCCAGAGGTCAGACGAGATGGCCCGGGAGGCCCCTTCTGACTCGCTCTGTTTCTGTGGTTCTGTGTCTCAGGTCTGCTAGAACTTAACGATCAGCCTTCTGCTGGTTATGAGCTCCCATCACAATTTAGGTTCCCCACCACATACGATCACGCTTCGCACTCACATGGGAAACAGTCAATGCCCGACATTGAAAGTCATGTGCAAAGAAGGCTTAATTCTGTGTGCTGCACTTGTGTGCCACGTGCAATGAGCTTGCACTAAATTGTGCAAGTGGTTCCCCAAATAGTTACAGAGGCCCCTGTGGCAGGAGGTGCTCTTGAAAACAGTTTTTCTGGCAAATTTTTCTTTCATTCCGGCCATAGCTGAGCATGTTGTAAGACATACCCTAGAAAAATATGCGTGTCTTCTTGGTCAGAGAAAAGAGCAGACAGACCAGTATGCATGAATTTTTTAAATGCCCCTATACAGCTTCTTCCCTTCTCCTTTAGAGAAGGCCAGGTTTCAGACCTTACCTTACGCCACACACACAAACCTCCTATCACAATCTCTGTCTGGCCACAGGCTGCTTGAGCTTTATGGAATGCTAAGCGGGGTCCGATAAGAGTTTTATGGCCAGATTCAGGGCAAGTGATGCATTACTCTTTCTGGAGCACCAGAGATACATGTCTGATCTTGCCATTCAAATGCGTCTATCAGTCAAGTCAACCCAATGCCATCCATCAAGGCATCAATAAACTTCCCGGCTTTGCAGCTTCTCGGATGCAAAGAAAAAAGGATAAAGGATAAAGGATTTAACATCTATATGAAACCGCTGGGAGAGGTCATCAGGAGGTGTGGGCTGCAGAATCATCAATACGCTGATGATACCCAGCTTTACCTCTCGTTTTCCACTAATCCAGGTGAGGCAGTGGCTGTGCTGAACCGGTGCTTGGCCGAGGTAAGGGAATGGATGAGGGCAAATAAACTGAAACTCAACCCAGACAAGACGGAGGTCCTGTTGGTTGGTGGATCGGGTTTCGGAGAGGGTGGATTTGACCTGGTCCTGAATGGTGCAACACTCCCTCTTAGGGATAAGGTCCGCAGCCTAGGAGTACTCCTCGACCCGGAGCTTTCTTTGGAAGCTCAGGTGACAGCGGTGGCGAGGAACGCCTTCCTTCAGCTTCGGCTGATTAATCAGCTGCGCCCCTACCTGGAGTACGACTGCCTGGCGACGGTGACACACGCGCTGGTGACTTCCCGCCTAGACTTCTGTAACGCGCTTTACGTGGGGCTTCCCCTGAAGACAGTCCGAACACTTCAATTGGTGCAAAATAGAGCTGCCAGGTTGCTGACGGGGACAGGGCGTTATGCTCACATGACTCCAGTCCTCCGTCAGCTTCACTGGCTTCCCATTGAAGCCCGGGCCCAATTCAAGGTGTTGATTATGACCTATAAAGCCCTAAACGGCTTGGGTCCTGGCTACCTGAACGAGCGCTTACGTCTGTATATGCCCAACCGCCCTTTGAGATCTGCGGGAGAGTCCCTTCTCCGGGAACCCTCCATGAAAGAAATTAGGAGAGTAAGTACCCGGAGGAGGGCTTTCTCTGCGGTGGTGCCCAACCTATGGAATTCACTCCCCAAAGAGGTCCGCCTGGCACCGTCGTTACTGGTTTTTCGGCGCCAGGTAAAGACCTTTTTATTTAAACATCATTTTAATTGTTAAAACATATGATCTGGCCAGGACAACTTCTTCTTCCTTCTCTTTCTCCTCCTATATCTTTATTTACTTAATTTATACTGATAATTTTAACCTTATATTTGTAAACCAATGTATTTTTTGTATTTTGTATTTAATGGTAATTTATTATGTGCTATTGTATTTCATTGTATTTTATCGTGTTGTAAGCCGCCCTGAGGTTTCGGCAAGGGGCGGCATAGAAATGTTATAATAATAATAATAATAATAATAATAATAATAATAATAATAATAATAATAGAGGGGCAGGAAATGTTAAACTGGGAACTACCCCCTTTTTTGGGGTGGGGGGAAGGTTACTTTGAAAACCTCAGCTTCACTGTTGCAGTGATGAAGTTTGTGCTTGGCTTTGATCATATGGCTTTGATTCCGTACCGGCTGAAAGAACAGCACGGGCTGGAAACATGACCCCCAAGGAGTGTCACTGGAAGCAGAGGTCTAATTTGCAACCAGGCTAATAAATATGCAACGGCTGTAATTAAGAAGGGCTGGATTTCTCGTGCCTTTTGGTTTACCGCTCCCAGAGGTGCAAAAGAGGGTGATAAAAATAAAGTTAAGAAGTGGGAACTTCTGCCCCATAAGTGTGTCCGTCATTTCACTATTCTCTGCAGTCTGATTATGGCGTAAAGGCTGCCTTTGGGCGCTGCAAGCGATGCCTGCGGCGTATTCCAAGGTGCTCGGAATTCTGCTCTGGATGCATCTGGAGGCAGAAAAAGGGGGGAGCGCATGGCCCTTCAAGTGCGGCAGCATTTGCTCCAAGATCCCCCCAAGGAAAAGGCTTCGGGTCCTTGGCAGTGCCTGCTTTGAAGGGGAGGGAGAAGATGGGACGCCTCTGGGCGGCCTGCTTTGCCTTCTCTATACAGCCCAAGACCGAAGTTCTGTGGACCATTCCCAACAGTTCATACATAGTTGTAGCCTATACTCTTTTTTGTGCCAGATCAAAACCTTTTTATTTAATTGTTATTTTAAAAACTAATATTTTAACATTCAACCGTCACTTTTTATTTAACTTATATTTCCTGGCTATTTGTTAATTATATTGATATGGTTGTTTTATTGTGTTTTGTTTTAATGATGGTAAGCCGTCCCGAGGTGCCATGCATAAGGGACGGCATATAAACGTTTTAAATAAATAAATAATACCAGAACTTGGAAGCCTGTCAAACAGTCTTGGGCACAAGCACAAAATGGCCGCCAAAGTTGGTCACAAGTTGGTCGAGTCATGGGCTGGGCCTCAGGAGCCTGGGTTCTGGTCCCCAGTGGGCCATGCAGCTCCCTGTCCTTGACTCTCAGCTCAGCCTACTTCACAGGGTTGTTGTTTTGAAGATAAAATGGAGAGGAAGAAGAGCCACGTGGGTTGGGCTCCTTGCAGGAAAAAATGCGGGAAAGAAATATGATAGACAGACAGACAGACAGACAGATGATAGATGGATAAATGTGTGTATGGATGTGCAAACAGATATGCTTGGGCCACCTGTTTGCAATTGGTCTACTTTTAAATGCTTGCTGAGAACAACATTAGGAAAGACACGAGCGCCACTGTCACCTGGTGGTGAGACTCACTGGGCGACTTTGGGCCAATCACTCAGCTTAACCTACCTTACAGGGTTGTTGTTCTGAGGATAACAGGCCGCTACGGATGCTGCCTTCAGGAAGGAGAGGAGGAGAAATTATGGGGCTCAAAGTAAAACTGTCCCTTTGTAAGGCTGTGCTGACTGAATAAGGAACTGTGAAAATTCTGAACTTCTAGCATGCATCTGAGATTACTGCAAATCAAAAGAAGCTATGCCAGATATTGGAATACCAACAGGACATCCATCCCAATAGGAAATAAGGGGGAAACAAGCCATTTGTCATGTTGGCCCAAAGGTTATGTCTCTGTGACAAAACCTGAATCAAAGACGTGGCAAAGGACGTATTTATTTTGATGGGGTTTAGAAGTAAAGCCAGCAGTAAGAGGGAAGCGGAGTTTGAAGGGGGAACAGGAAGTGAGGAAGAGGAAGGAATGGAGTCAGTGTTAGAGAGGCAAGAAGAAAGCAGACTACCATTACTGTGCAAGAAGCCACCTTTATTCTGTACGTGTCGTTGGGAGCCACTCCTTTGGTTACAGAGACCGCGTCCCATGAGACAAGGAGGCGACAGGACTCAACCCTTCCTCGGTTATCTGCCCACCCTCCCGAAATGTCTCTGTCTCAAGCTGTTTTCATGCCTGTCAGTTTCTCTTGCCAATGTAGGTCTGAAACACTCCCCCAGCCCTGCTTTTCTGGTGGTAAAAATTGCTGGGAAAAATAGCTCCGCACAGAGAGGATTAAGCACCCATACAAATTAAGGTGCCCCTTCACTGCGAGTCCTTTGCAGCAGAGGAAGCGTTATCGGCACTGAATGCAGATGCACTCCAAAGCATAGTCTGGATTTAGAGGAAAAGAGATAACTACTCCACAGACACAGAATTGCTTTCGAACTGCATTTCCCAATTGTGGAAGCAACAAAGCTCAGTAGATAGCATACTTGTTCTCAATTTCTTATTATTTATTTTGCATGACTGTACGGGATTACTGCAGTAATCCGTTCCATGCATGCAACTTAAGCCAGGCATAACTGCATAAAACTCTGAAGCGGAGAGAAAGAGGTCCTGTGTTCCATCAGCCGGGCCAGTCCTGATCTCAGACAGAGTGGTGTGGCTGTCCCAGGGTCACTAATCCGCAGCCAGCTGGCTGGTCTCTCTTTTGGTGCACTCTGCTTAAGCTCGGCTGCAGCGGACCATCCCGGCCCACTTTTGTACATGGGCTGGAAAGAGGGACACCTGAATTTTTGCTTCAAATAGCAGCCCAGGATGAATGCTCTGCCCCTTGGACCTCAGAATTTAGCCACACTGCTGATGGAAAACAGTCCCCGTGGAGGCCTTGTCTGTGCCGTACCTCTATGGTCCATATCTGAAGGCCTGGTTTTCTGTTGATCGTCGGGAGTGCGACCTCAGCTTCTGCATCAGTCATCCTTCTTGGTCAAACTGAAAAATAAAATGGGTGGTGGTGGTGGTGAGGGGGGGGAATAAGGTAAAAACACCCAAAGGACAGGTGTTGATAAAACAGTTGAAAACAAAGTCTCGATCCATACTGCTGTCTTGATTTACCTGTGGGACTTGTGCTACATTTCACATAGGAAATGCATAGCCAGGAATAGTGCAAGGTATGACGGGAACACTCATTATATGCCTCTCCCCCCCCCCCCCCGGCTTTGCTTTCTGTGACTGTGTCTGTAGGAGCAGCTCTTTCTGCAGGAATAAATGGGGACGATGTCCAAAGCATGGAGGGAAATAATGGGAAGCACCCCAGTTGCTAGAGGTCAAGTTGCCCTTAAATGCACAGGAACAGGGAAGTCTGGCCCCCAAACGCGCTGGTCCTCTGAGCACTGCATTCCCCCTGACTCAAGATTAGGCTTCCTGTCTCTTTACTGGCTCCCATGTGCAAGACATGCTTGAGGCTGGACGCAGGAGTGACCAATTCTGGAAAAAACCAGATGTCCCTTGACTGCATTCCAAATGTCTCCTCCAATTTCCATTTTGTTCACCTGTGAACAGAACGTTGGGTTAGATAGTTGTTTGCTATGATCCTGTAGGGCTAGTCTTACATTCCATTCTCTCTACAATCATAAGGACTAGTGACTTCTCAGGACACCAGGCTCTGGGTCCATTGCTTCCTCCTTCCTGATACCCAGTTTGGTGCTATGCATCATGCTTTGGGCATGCGGTGCACACCGGCTCTAGGTGGGGCTACTAAAAATGGCAAGGAAAAAATCAAGGGGCATGGGCAGTCACCCAGAAAAAATTGACAAGATAAGCTCGATTTGAGCGGCAGTCCAAACCTGGATGAACTGTAGATTTGGCCTGGGCAGCTGGATCACACACAACAAGCCTTGAGAACAAAGGCCACACCTGTCTTTCCAAATAGCACGTTATCCCCTTAAATACCAAATAGTATAATACCCTTAAACTTCCACCATGAGAGAGAGCCAGTGTGGCGTGCTGGTTGGAGTGATTAGAGAGGAGTGGGACTCAGGGGGTCTGCGTTCTAGTCTCCACTGGGCCATGACGCTCCCCAGGTGCCTTTGAGCCCATCACTGACTCGCACCCTAGCCTACCTCGTAGGGTTGTTGTGAGGAAAAATGGAGCAGGCAACCCTGTAGATCACCTTGAGGGCCTTGTGGGAGGAAAGGTGGGACATTAATATAACAAGAGTGTTCCGTACTGTACATTCACTTCTGCTTTGCCCCCATGCTGAGAAAAAAAAGCATCTAATCTTACTGCCTGAACCGCCTCTGACAAAGACGCTGTGCCTCCTTACTCCGGCCCTGCAGGACTCGTGTCATTTCACGGCGCTCTCCAGCTGCCTGCATCCACTTTTTAGAGCACCCAGGGTGGGGGCGAGTGGCTATAAATGTTAATTAAGACACTCCAGCACTCCCCTCTCCCCAAGAGATGCTTATGCAGCTCTAGTCCTTCAGCTCAGGGTCTTGCAATCCGGAGCATTAAGAGCTGCTTTGCTAAGACAGGCCAAAGCGCAGGGGTGCTGAATTCAGGGCCACGTGCCAAATAGAGAGCCCCATCCATATTCCCACCCCTCTCCCCTGGCTCTGCCCCCTCACAACTGCCTGTCATTTAGTGGTTGACTAGCTTTTGCATAGATCTTGTGCCAAACAGCCGAATTGCAAAGGTAGCCTGAAAGCAGTTAAGCAGTCAGATAGCCATTGGTCCTGAGTCAGCAGTTAAGCAGGCAGAGAACTCCCACTGTCAGTCTTCCTGGATTTGCCCATGCCCAGTTCCAGAAAGAAATTCCTAAGAATGGTCAGGTGGAACTTTGAATTAAGGAGCTGGGACCCTTGATTACCCCTTTTTGTGCTTTCATTGCATTGCTGGCCTGTGCTTAGTTTGTTGTCTGCAACTCTAAGTCTTTTTCTTTTTCAGTGTGGTTGAGTCAAGTATTCCCCATCTTGAATCGATGCATTTGGGGTTTTTCTCCCTCTAGGGCAGTGGTGGCGAACCTATGGCACCTATAGGTTTTGGGCTGCAGTTCGGGCACTGGGTCTGTGAAAGGTTCACCATCATTGGGTTAGGGTTAGAAAAAAGAGGTATGATTATGATGGCTGGAATGTGCCAAATATGGGCAGAGATGTTGAACTTTGCAGAAAAAGCTACTCAAGGAAGGCCTTTTCAAAATTGCCCTCTTTTCAATGGAACTTTCGCCCTATAATAGGGTTAGGGGTGCGCACCAGGGTAGGGTTAGGGTAAGAAAAATGAGGTGCCCTGGCATGGTTTTCATGGTTGGAGTGTGCTTAGAATGGGCAGAGATGTTGAGCTGTGCAGAAAAAGCTGGTCAAAGAAGGCTTTTCAAAATCACCCTCTTTTCAATGGAACTTTAGCCCTACATTAGGGTTAGGGGTGTGCACCAGGGTAAGGTTAGGGATGTGCACCAGGGTAAGGTTAGGGTTACACAAATGAGGTGTCCTGGCATGGTCTTGATGGTTGGAACGTGTTTAGAATGGGCAGAAATGATGAGCTATGCAGAAAAAGCTACTCAAGAAAGGCTTTTTAAAAATGGCATTATTTTCCATGGAACTTTGCCTCTCTATCAGGGTTAGGGGAGTGCAGCAGGGTAGGGTTAGGCCCTCTTGACTGTATTTGCCTGCCAACAAGAGAACGATTGTTCTGGGCACCTGGCTGAGAAAGTGACAAACAAGCCAACCCCTCTCTCGACTGCATGATCCATCTGCACTTCTTGCTGATTCAAATTCCGCATTGTCCTGACCCTCTCTTTCTTCTTGTGCTGTTTCCTGGTCTTTTGTTAAGCTGCCCGAACTGGCGGATCAGGTCTTTGAATGACAGGGCTGAAAACACTGTGGGGAGAAGGTCCCATTTTCTGGCACAGACCACAACCGGAAGAGTAAAAAGAGGGTGCTGCCATCAATGCATTCCAAGGTGTTTGCATAGCAGATGTTTTCAATAGAACTGGCGTCATCTGTATGATCATTTATTGCGAGGACCGGGTCCATGGCACTGCTAAGCAACTGCGAGAGCAGATACTCTCCCTATAGCAAGAACTCTGCAAGTTGGCCTGGTAGAGAACCAGTGAGCCCGCCTGCCCCAGACTTTCCCAACTGGTTGTGTTCTGGCTGTGCTGGGCTGCAGCTCCCATGGCACCCAGCCAGAATGGAAGGTCGCAGGACGGACTCCATCAAGCAGCCCACTGCCTTGAATTCGCAAGACGATGGCCACGGGTAGAGCATTCTTGGAGGGCTCTCATACACAGGGTTCCCACACTCCAGAGATGACTTGATGGGACATAACAAGGACCACAACAGCGTGTGGGTGGTGCTGAAGACCAAGTCAGTCATGCTGGCTAAGGATGGTGGAAGTTGTATTATTCGTTCATTCGTTCACCTTTTTTCTATACAGCCTCACAGCCAAAGCTATTTGGACAGTTTACAACTATTCATACACACAGACAATAAAAATGCAATAAGAATAATAAAACCAGAAAGCATTAAAAAGTTTAAAACAGCTGTTCTGTGCCCCATTACATTTTCACTGCAGATATTTATTTATTTATTTAGAATTTTTGTATGCCGTCTCATCGCTTATAGCCTCGGGATGGCTCACATAAATAAACATAATACATAGTAAAATAGTACAATTTAAAACCCAGAATCACCCTGGCTGCAAAATTAAAACCTATAGATATTATTAAGAGTTATTAAAATATTGTTTAAATAAAAAGGTCTTAGCCTGGCACTGAAAAACAAATAACGACGGCGCCAGGCAGACCTCTCTGGGGAGCGCATTCCATAGCTGGGGTGCCACCGCAGAGAAGGCCCTCCTTCGGGTACTTTGCCTCCTGATGTCTCTCATGGAGGACTCCCGGAGGAGGGCCTCTGCTGCCGATCTCAAGGGGCGGGAGGGCAAATATGGAAAAATATTTGCCTTCTTCTTATTTTAAATGCGACTCCCCAAAATTCTTGTGCCGAACAGCGAGAGCGCTGGTGTTCAAAAGTTCGAACTCCCTGGATTGGGATTGGTGTGACTTTGGCTTTAGCATTAGCTACTTTGGCTTTTTCCCTGGTGCACAAGTGGATTAAAAGCCCTGTGCGGGACCAAAGTGCTGATGCCTCAGCGGTGCTTAAAAGTCCTTCTGTGAAAGGATCCCCTCTAGAAACACTCCAGAGGGTCTTGATCCAATCCACTGCTTTTCAAAGCCATTCTCTCTTAGAAAGCAATCTCAGCACTTGGCCAAATGCCCAGGGCATGCTTTCCCACCTGGCCACACCCCTTCCCTGGCCACACCCCTCCCCAGATTGATTGGCAGGTTTGCAGCTTCTGTGCACCCCCTAATTCTAGATGGTTGAAATGCTTCTCCAGAAGTTTACTTCCTGGGAATAACAGTTTTAAACATTTTTGGGGCGATGGGAGACATTCTGGGCCCCGTTTCTGCCTTCCCCCCACCTCCATTTTGCCTGGAGTCCCACCCACCATTGGAAACCACCCCCCAGGAGACCCTCAGAAAGTTAATGGGCTGAAAGTAGGTTGATGCTGTGATAAAAGAGGAGGTGAAATTAGCCTTTAGGGACAAAAGCCCTGCGTGTGAAATCCTTGATCATTTTCCCAGGGCTGTCAGCATTCCGCACAACGCAGGTTGGAGAAAACACTCCTTGAATTTATTTGCTTCTTTACTTCTGCTTGCCACAGGGAGGTCCGTCCATCCAGTAACATCTCCCTGCCTTCCCTGAGGTCCATCTGGCATCGTGCTTGTACCACAAGCAGAAACAGAACTATAGGAGCGAAAACACAGAGCTGAAAAACAGAAGAGCCCCGAGGGTCAAACCCGATGTGGCTTTAAGGGGAAAATGTGGTTTCCGGGCCACGTTTCCTTGCTCACATACAAAACGTGGAGATGCGTGTGTGGGGACAGTCCTTCCCCTCCTTCCCCCCTGCCAAGAATCTATT